GCGCGGCGGCATTCGGCTATTCTCAACTCCGGCCCGCGAGCCGGTACTATGTGGCCCGCAGCCAGCTGCCAAGTCGGGCACGCGGTCACAGAACACGTGCCTGAATTGCGGGAGCAGCTACACGGTCTGCATCTCTGTCGGATGCAGACCGCAGAGCTGCTCCGGCCGGAGCTCTGTCAGTTCTGAGCTCCGGCAGACTGATGAATGATTAGTAAAGTGCAGACCTTACTAATCACCACCAGATCACAAGATCACACCTGCACACCGCATGTACACACCTGCACACCGCATGTAATTGTATGTGATATGATTACATGCAATTACAAAAACAATCACTATTGTGTATCCAGGGATAGTGATTGATTCCTAACTGCATGTAATCCTTTCAGATATGATTACATGCAGTGTGCAGGCGTTTACATGCAGCAGCTGTCACCCGATCATTAATTTGAATCGGTGATAGTTGCCACTTGTAACACGTGCATACATTAAAACTGGTTAAATTGAGTTTGAGACCCCTGTTCTACGCTTTCTTAAATCCATCTTAATCTAGAATAAAAAAGGTTTTGCTAGAGTTTCACTTTAACTACCAGGTATGGCATGTTTGATATTTATATGTATTTTTTTTAAAGTCTAACCTTTTCATCCACTATGGAGCCCCATTCACATCAGATATGTTGCGTTCAATTACAATCTTTTTTAACAGATGGTACTGCAAGGGTCAATGAAAAATAAATGGGTGTGAATGGGACAGTTCACATCTTTGCAGTGTGCTGCGCTGCGTACGTTGCGCTGGAAAAAAAAGTAGAGCATGCTCTACTTTTTTGCAGCGCAATGCATCACAAAATAATGGTAAAGCAACACATTCAAAGCTGTTACAGTGAAATATGTCCACTCAGAACATGTTGTTTCACATGTTTGCAAGAAAAAAAGCCAAAAAAACAAAAATGCAAGGGATCGCTACAAATCGGAAAGTACAATCATAAGTCAATAGACCCTCCATTGACCAGTGAGTGCCTTCCAATTATGGTGTGAATGCATCCTGAATGGTACAGCTAATCTGTCAATGAACACATACTCTTGGGTACTTATGGCTCCTGGAATGTATTCTATTTTATGACATTGTGTATTACTGATTTGTGTGTTCACACTAGATCTATCACGCCATCACAGTAAGCAGCTTTCTCTGTTAATGAATGTTAGATATGAGAAAAATTATTTCTTAATTCATCTGTATGCAACAGAGTCTTATTCACTCCAATTTCTGCCCTTTATTCTCCCAGTCTCCCAGAGTGCTGCTGTGCAGGGGCTGACAAGAGACAAATATAAAGACGGATTCAACAACTTATGCTAGCTGTATGCAAGAATGCACTTTAAGGGAGGACATAGCTGCATCAAATTGTGTTTTTTTACATTCCTGAAGTTCTGCTTTAAGTCTGCAGTGGTTTCCCAAATCCTGTTTTTAGGGTTACTTTTCCACAAGAAAGCTGTTTTCTTGTCTATATAAATTACAATAACACTGGAAAAACGATAGTGTCAAGCCCAATTAGAATAACACATGCATAGTTGGACATGCATGATTCTTGTTGCTTGAGTTCAGCACAAAAGCAGCTCAGTAGTAGACAGGAAAGAGAAGACAGGTAATTGAATAGTCACCACTGTAGTGGTGAAACTACAGTAGGTGTAACTCAGTATTGTATGATGAACATGGCTTCATTGACAAAGGGTATAAGAACGAGAAATACAACTTGTACCAGAGAGACCTGTTTATTAAGACTTGAAAGAGCTGTTTATGGGAAACACAGTATGTAGAATATCCCCTTCACCACAGTAAATCCAAGTATAGGATATTGGAATTTTTAATAAATATATTCTTATTTTATTGGTGTATTAAATGCATAAACAGAAGACTAAAAATCTGTAAAAATTACATATTTGTCATTCACCCCTGAGTTTTACAATTACAATACAACTATAAAGAAAGTTTTCTTCTAGACTCTAATTTACATATAAACATAGTATTGTATTTTCCAAATAGAACGTCAAAAATGTTTGCATACCAGAAACAATGTTTCACTATTTTTACAGCCACATGGGTGATTTTAATCTCTTCTACTGATATACTGAGGCTACTAAGAGATATAATCATTTGATGGCAAACATCTCAATAGGCTTAAGCTACACAGGAGAATGTAGTCACACAATCATGCTACTAAAAATCACTAGTGATCAACTGCTTGGAGTAGCAATTGATCACTAAATAGATATAGAACAAATACCCTACTGAGTAAGCTACATATGTGACATATGTAACATGCAGCAGAATCTTGTAGTGCTCAATCACACATTATTGGAGAATTTCCCAAACATGCAAGATTGATCACTACTACATACCAGTACTTGCTACTTGTGTAGATTACTTACTAGTTCCATTGGTTTAAATATCAATTGATGTTCATAACAATAAATTATTATAATTTTTAGTCGAATGACTACAGTGAGCTGCTAAAAGTCTGTAGTTAAACCTCTTAGTAGCAAAAGATTTAAGATCTTCCATTTAAGATTGAAGGTCATCCTTGTAGCCTAGCGCTTAGAGTAAAGCTAAACTGGGTTTTATCAGCAGTAAACAATTGCTAGACTTTGAAGTGTACACAGGTAATCATGGATCACTGTCTGCTATTCAATGTTTTGGCATCCATTTAGCATTTAATAACACTTTACCATGGTAAGTGCACATCTTGCACCATAACCTGGCCGTAACTCCCTGTGTAGCCTAGCCCTCTCAGTTGTCTTGACCCCTTTTGTAAAGATAAAAGCGTGCATTTGCAATATGGCAAAATCATATTTTATTCATTTATTTTACATTATATTTCTATAGCAATATAGGACACATTCTTTCCCAGAACATTGAACCATTTACATCAGTTCTTGCCCCACAAAGGAGCTCACAATGTAATGCCCCTAATGCTACTCACATAGACATGCATGCATACTGTAGATTAGGATTTTGGGTGGAAGCTGAACAATGTACTTAACATTTTATCTTTGAATTGCAGTAGGAAACCAGAGCACTAACAGAAAACCCACATATACAAACACCATGCACATAGTGTCCATGGTGGTATTTAAACCTAAATCCTAAAACCATATGTGCTTATCATTTAGTCACAGAGCTAGGATTTCCCATGTTCTCATGTTGTCTAAAAAAGATAAGACAGGAGAACCATGGAAATACACAGCACAAAGAACGTAGGTGTGTAAGTGTAGGCACTGTTGGTCTGAGATTTGACTTCTACATTTGATTTACACTGGGTGCAGTTAAATCCACAGTAATCACAAACTGATATCTTTTTCATTGTTGCAGAGTTATATGTTCGGGTTACAGTGTTTCCTGAAAAGAAAAGGAAAATCAGATTATAAAGAAAAACCCATTAGTCCCAGCTTAGCCTTTATTATGAAACCATCATAAACATTTGTGCATTAAAGTTCTTGGTGTTGCAATCCAAGCTTTTAAAGTAGAGAGTGTTGTAAACGCACTGAGATGAAAAGTCACATTTGGCTTTGATAGTGGAGCATCACTGTTTATTCCCATAATGTCTAGGGAATCACAAAGTATTTCATAGCTAGCAGTATTTAATCACATTCATTGTTTGAATGGGACTGACTACTGATGACTATACCATGACCTGGATAAATGAAAACGTTCACACTTACAGGAGACATTTCATACATTTGCCAATCTTGTGGGCTGCCATAGATGTATTTTTACCTCACCTATAAGACAAAGCCAAACATGGAGCTACTCCCATTTAGAGATGAGCCCAGGCTTGATGCAAACTCTGGAGTGGTGGCCATAGTTTTGAGTGGCCTTGGTGTGAGTTCACCCAAGCCCACTCAATGCTGTGGCTGCCACCCCCCTCCTGACCCAATTAGTGGTGGCAGTTGCAGTGGGGGCAATAACTGCCTCTTTGTGAGGCATAACACAGCTGAGTGGGCCAGGTGGGGGGGTGGCAATTGCAGTTTTGAGCAGGCATTGGTGAACTCAGGTGAACTGCGTTTGCACCCAGCCCAGACTCACCACTACTCACAATAAAAGCTATGAGGTTCACTTCAAACTGGGCCCCATGGCTCAATTTGAAGTGAATTGTGAAGTGAATTCCATTGTCCCTCAATGGGTGATAACGAAATTACATTTATTTCTTGATGGTCCTCAGAACTTGTTTCTTGTACAAACATATGATCGTGCATTTGAATTCTTAGGCTGCATCTTAAAAATCACAGTAGCATCACCAAAAATCACCACATCCTAACGTTAACTTAAAATTGCATTCGAATTTGATTTAAATTTGGGCAGGCATTAGTCATTCTGTACAATCTGTGTGCTCACTTTATATTCAGTGTTTACCTTTGTAAGTCACTGCATAACCAGAAAACTCTCTTGAGGAACAACATTAGAGATTTTCCTAAAATTAGACTAAACTAAAATGTTGGTAATTTCAGTATGTTTTGGTTTTGATTTATCTCACAAAATTCTACAAAGTGTATAGCTACACATGGTAACAGTAGCTCTTTACTGGAGAGCCAACCAGCATGAGCCTTATAAAAAATATACATGCACTTACTGCAAAATTCATCTCGATGGTACTGTCCTGGTTTCAGTCTACCCTACATTTATAAAATCTCCCAAATTTTTCTATTTTATAGCAGTGTGTCAAGGTACCCTGTAGGACCGGCCAGCCTAAATGTGATTGTGCACAACAATTTAGCTTCAATCTAATAAAACCTTGTTCTAATTACTTACAATGCTGCAAATATGGCCACTTACTTGGGTTGTAATATTCAGTAATTGTAACCACGGCATCTTGGCTCCCAGCAACATTGGCAAAACGGACCATTGGAACAGACACAGTAACAGTGTCTCTGGTTAGCTGAAGAGAAAAAATACACAAGGTTATGGTGTATTGTTATCATATTTGATACAGCTGGTATGGTCTTGTGGTTCCTGGGCTCCTAGTGGTTTCATCATTATATTATACTTACTTGGTTCGGCGGATCGCATGTATATTAACGGGCATCGCTGCCCGTTTTTAAATTGCGACCATGTCCCGCTCACGCGCGCCCGGCGGCGCGCGCAAGGGGGCGTGTCTGAGCGGACGTCTAGAGACGCCCGCTCAGATCTAGAGAGCTCCTGGCCGGCCGTTTTGTATGTGTACAATGTATCTATTCCTGAAAGAAGAATGTTTCAGTTTGCTGATCGTTGTTGGAACGTTCAGAAAACCTTAGTGACAGCTGAATCCTGAAATGGTGCAGGATCAGTGTGACTAACTTATTATTGGCTGTTCTAAAGTTTGAAACAGCCTAATAATAACCAAAAATGTATTAATGTATCAAGCGGTAATAGTGAGATTAATTCACAATGACTGCTTGATATAATTAAATAAATAAAATCAAAATTTTAAAAGTTTTTAAAAAATAGTGAAAAGTGTAAAAAAAAATTGTGAAAAGTGTAAAGAAAAAAAAGTGTAAAAAAATAAAGGACAAATAAATGAATGTATTTATTGCATTTTTTTTTTAGCTGTGCTGGTTTTGTAAAAAATACTACAAATCAAAACTGGGAAAAAAGTGTTTTTTACGTTTTTTCCTCTTTTTTTATATTTTATTTGTCCTAAGTGATGGGGTCAGGTACACATATGTGATATAATTATATAGCCCTATCTGTCCTCTAAAAAAAAATATATAACATGTGTGGGTGCACTTTGTAAGAAAGTATATTACTGACGTGGAAGAATCACACAGCAAAAATGTCAAGTGTGTCAGTCATTTACGAACAGAAACTAAAAACAAGCTCAGTCATGAAGGGGTTAAAGGTGAATGCTGGGATAAGAAAACATTAATACACGAGGCTTGTGTATGTTTAGTTGAAGCTTGGTGTGCTTTGTGCATTTCTTCCAGATCTGTGCAATAATCTAGTATGAAACTTTGTCTCTGTGTGCAGAATATTCCTGTTAATAAAGACCAGTCACTGCTGCTCTCTCTCCTTGTGCAGGATGACTGGCCGTGTGTCTGCCCCCCCCCCTGTAGTTATCTACAGGAAGACTTTAGTGAGTGGCCCTGCTGGGCCCCTCTCACAGCTTGGTTCTCTGTACAGGCTATGTACAGAACTGTTACTTTTACAAGATATTTCCTGGTAATGCAAAGACATTTGTTACACACAATTACATTTTTTGCCGGGAGTTCAGCTGTATGCATAATACACTACTTCCTTTACTTATAAGCAAAATTAGGAGTAACATTATATACAACCCTTCAGAGCAGTCAACAATCAAGTGTGTGGCTTTAAAAAAATAAATGGCTTCACACAACTGATATGGATTAGATGTTCAGCTCCTGAGGTGCAATTCTATACTGTGCTGGAGTCAAGTTGTGTTAGGCTAACCACAAAAGCAAGTAAACTGTATTATTGTTCAACAATCAGATCTACAGTAGGAATCATTTGTACCTCATATTTGGCCTATTTTAGGCAGATCTAGTATAAAGTTACCCAAACTGACAAGCAATTTGAGTGAGAATTATGCAACTGTTCAAATCAGATATTCATAGCCCACAAACAAAAATTTCAAAACACAAAACATCCATGTTTGGGTACCTACGCTCATATGTGTGAGCATGTAAACAGCATTACTTGTATTTACACACATATACCCGCATACAAAGTACTCTATCAATACAGTCCAATGGTCACTAAATTGCAGCAACTGGGACTCCAGGGAGCTGCAAAAACAGGTAGATTTAACACTGTATTTGTTGGTTATGTGTTTAGATGAAGCACTGAGATCTTGAGGAATGCTGAGTTAAGTTGTACTTGCTTAGAAGAACATAACATGTATGAATAACACCATTGTGAAGTAAAAATATAGGATAGAAAAAACAGCTTCCTGTGTATCATAGATAAGCATGCACATAGAGAGTAACATTGCACTACACTGCCATCTACAGCTCAAAAGACATATTACATCTCAGAACATTATTATATCAGTACAGTATGTGCTGTTGTATTTCCAACAGTATTTACATCCATGTGCATGAGCCCTAATTCGAACTGTGCATTTACCTGTGTTTAGGTGCATTAAGTTTAGCTGTGTTTAGAGAATATAGTATTCTAGGCATCCAGGGGCAGATTAGATACGCTGAACATTTCTGAACACATGCAAACATACGTAAATACATGTAAGCACAGGTACATTTAAATGCACGTGAACTTGATCTGGGAAGCATACTTTTGTCTTTACTTCCCAAAAAATTCACCTACGTTTAAATAAACCAAAACACAGCAGGTTAGTGTGAATGTATTCAGCATTTATGCCAATAATTAGCTTCTTTGTAATACTGTGTATCATGTTTATGTTCTTACTATCTCTATAAAATATACCTAAATCAGCATGAAATGTTTCCTAAGCAACAACAGTGGTGAAGTTTGAGCACCCTGTGGTGCCTGTAAGTACCTGTGTCCAGCTACATTCACACCGACACTCCTGTATTTAAAATCTAAACACATGAGATGTTATCTAGCAAGTATAAACAACTGTTATGCTCCCCAGATCACTTTCTCCTAGATGTACCTGCCTTGAATTGGGTTTAGCTGTGATAATGTGCGTTTACATGCATTCATGTGTGTTTAGCCATGTAAAGATTTTCTAATTGGACCCTGGATGCATATAATTCTATTTATGTAATTGTGGCCAAACTGACAGCACCAAAACACAGGTTAGCTATTAGTTTGAATGAAAATGTAAACATGAGGGTGAGTAAAAAATTATCCGCACTCTGGCTGTAGAATATACTTGAATCAATTTTTAGAAAAGACAAATACATAATTTTTCGACATAATCTTCTTGCTTTTCAATACACTTTGTCCATCTGTCAACAAGCTTTTGTATTCCCGCAGTAAAAAATGTTTTAGGGTGAGCTGCGAGCCACAAATGCACCGCTGTCTTCACATCTTCATCAGAGGTGAATCTTCATCTTGAAGGGGTGCTTTCAGGGGACCAAGGCCACATAATCCACTGTCACTCGTCAATTCGACAGAATCATTTCACGTGTAGGCTCAATGTTGTCATCAGCCGTGGATGGGCATCCGGCTCCTTCTTGATGGCTAACACTTTTGCGATCTTGAACTTCTCTATCCATTCATACACACTTCTTCACGACAAAACACCTTCTCCATACTTTGCCCAAAGCCTTCGATAAATAATGGCACCCGGTACACCCTCAGACCACAAAAAACGAATCACTGCACGCTGCTCTTCTTTCGTGCAAATCACAAGTGATGCATCCATTATTTCTTGCATCGCAAATAAAATGAACTGACGTAAAACATTCACAACTGCACTGCAGTGACTGGGGACACTGTAGCCTTGAGCGGAAAGCGCTGATAAGACTGTGCGGCCAGCAGAAGTTTTTTAATAACCGGAGTGCGGATAATTTTTGACTCACCCTCGTAAATGTAGGTTTGACACTGCCAGTGTAAATTAGGCCTTAAAGGGCTATTCACTAAGCTGCCGAAGGCAACCAAGTGAATAACCGAGCCGAACAACGTTCGGCTATACACTTTGGGGGTGATTTACTAACCTAAACACACGCACGCACCAGGTGCGTGTGATTTTCACACAGCAAAACATATTTATCAACCAAAAAGTCTCTAAAAGCATATTTCCACTAATGCCATATATGGAAAAATCATTTCACATGATGCATATATAATGCTGCTTCACAGTTTAGACAAAAATGGTTAGCTCATGCATTTACATTTCTGCATTCATCAACGCAAGCAACACAACATAGAGCTAATTTACACAACATCACCTTCTAATTCATGCAGGGCTTTGCACAACACACCTGCTGGGTGTGTACACACTACAAAGGTGTTTAGATTCCACCAATAGATCATGCTGGGAGGGAACACACTACAGAGGTGTATACATGTTCGTGGTGTGTTTATAAGGTTAGTAAATCAACCCCTTTGGCTGATTTCAGCCGTACATTGGCTGCTTTCGGTTGCACTTCAGTCATCCGAACATGCTCTGCATGTTCGGCCGACCCGAAGTGCAGAAGGAGTTCGACTCAGACGATCCAAAATCTATTCTCATAGGGTCCGAATGGCAGTGAGTGAATAGCCAAATGCCGCCAAGCGGCATTCGGCTCGGCTATTCTGCTCGGTACCTCCATGGTACCGAGCAGAATAGGAAATCAATTAAAAAAGTTGAAAAAAAAGTTAAAAAAAAGATTTTTGGAATGTAAATAAATATTAAATGTAAAAAAAAAAATAAAGCTAAAAAATGGGTGGAGCTAACAGTGATAGATAGCTCCGCCCAGCTGTTTCCTATTGGCCAGCACCTGCTAGAGTCTCCTAGCAGGTCCCGCCCAATGAACAACAACTGGACGTCATGGCCGGCTCCGCACAGTTGTCATTGTTTAATGACAGTTCAGCATTCCTAGGTCATTTGGGGACGCTGATCTGTCATTACAACTGGGTGGAGCCGGCCGTGAGAACACTTTTTTTTTTAGAAATAATGCGCAATAATATGTTTCCTTCATTACAATCCTTCAATATTACTATTCTTTAATATAACTTACCGAATGTAAATAGAGGTTAACTTTATTAGCTTCAGGTTCCACCATTGCAAGGATTTTAGTTGTAGGAATTACTTTGGCACTTAGTTGGAATCCATTAAGGTAATTAACTACTACAAGCACCATACCAGTCTCATCACCTTCTCCCAGGTAACTAAAAAGAAAAATAGGATTATGAGTGAACTGTGGACAAGCATTTAGAGAAAGCGGAAGTAATCTATTAATCTATTAGGTGCACAATCAGACATCAGACACATTTTACCTCCAATTTGTGATTATGACAACTAGAGACACATTTTATTTTCAAATGGTTTAAAAATCATTTATTTGTATGAACCTTTTTCAAAAATATTTATATTTTATCATTTGTTTAAAGTCTTTATCTTAATTAATGTAGCTATATTACAAAATCCGAGATTAAAGTTTAACGTGTGTGGTGATTTTACAAACCCAGAAGAGTAGAATAGCGAGAACTCTTACCTCATGCTCACATCTACTGTCAGTTTGTGAATATTACTTGCATCTTCATTCACTTTCAGATCTAATTTGAATGCTTCCACCACAGTGTTTCTCCTGCGCCGTGATGGTGCCTTTGTGTTATACACTACATTGAGCTGCCAAATAGAATGTATTAATAAATCTATTATATTTCCTAAAACATTCAGTATTTCTGTATAAACAATATTTTTTGGATATCTGTCTTTATTAGCAAGGATGTGTAAGCGGTTCATTTATAAGTCTCACCCTGCGTATAGCCAGTCAGATGCCATTCGCATGGCACTAGCGCCCCTAGATGGTGATGACGAGTATAGGGAATTCCTATACTCCTTATTACTATAGTAATACTAGGAATAGGAACAAATCCTTAAGTGTTCTGGATTAGCAGTGATGGAAGACACCGCATATAACTGTTCAGGAGAGAAGTAAGGGCTTAATTGGTCAGTGCCAGCAACAGATAAAGCTGGTAGTTGAGATCTGTTCATTTCATATATTTAATATGTGTACAGTACCTCTTGCAGTCTTGTAGGCAGGATGCACACTAATCTGTTGCATTGCAGTGGCTGCCACATGTGTGTTAAACTGCAGCATTTTCCTCAATAACATGCGTTGCAATAAGACAGCCTATTCAGGTTATAACACACCTGCAGCATTTTTTTTCACTGCAGCATACTACAATGCACAGACTGCGACTTTTCAAATCTGTTTTATGCTGATCGGGTAGTCTAATATTTCTGTTGTAGTTAGCAATTTATAGCCCTGGATGTTCATGTGTTGTTTGTGATAGCTTTAAAAATGTTACATAATGGCATTAGCATTTCTTGTAATTGTGTTCATTGTAATTTTGGCTTTTCTGTCTGCGGTTGCATAAGTTTTCCTTAAATATGGATTTATAAATTATAGTTCCAAAGTTCATAAAGCCCAGATCTGGGGCACAATACACTTACTGCAGTTCAGTAAGTTGTAGAGGCCATTTGCTGTAAACTTACTTGCCATAATTAGATCTTTCTCCTAATGCCTGCAAATCTTAACTATACCAGTGGGTGGAAGTCCAGCTCCCGTTGAACTTCCTGTACCCGCTTCAGTGGCATCATCTTCATTCCCCTCTCCTCCTGGCCAGTAACAAAACCGAGCCTGTGGCCTTTTTGCTTTGTGATAGGCCAGAAAGAGAGGGGGAAGGAAATACAACTACAACACTGAGGGCTGTGAGAGCTGCAACGCTGCAACCGACACAAGCCGAGGAATTTCAGCGGGAGCTGAAGTTATACCCACAGGTATATTTAAGATTTCTGGGAAGTGGAAGAAATATTTTATTATGGCAAGTTAGGTAACACTAAAAGGACCTCTACATGGACAAAGGGCCTCTGAACTTACTGAACTGCAGTAAATGTATTGTGCCCTGAGTACATTTTTATTTTTGTTAATCAAGTACAGTATATAACTGAAACTTCCTGCTTTGTGTGAAAAGCAACTGTATTCATCTTCTGGAGGGTGTAGAGCTTAGTTTAAAAGTTTAAAAATGGGTAGAATCTATTGTATCTATTTTCTTCAACAGTTGTTCCTAATATTTCCTTCTTTAAGAAAACAATATTTGTAATTGTTTTGTAAAATAAATTCATTAATAGAAATGAAAACAAACATGCAATGTTTAATTTACTTCATACCTGAGCAACAGCCAATCCATTTCCAACTGCAGTGGCAGTGACTGATAGTGGTTGGGAAATTTCAACCTGACAGTGAAAGAGGATTATTAGTGTGTTTATATAACCATTTCAGCATTTCCAATCCTGAAACTATTTTGAAGGCTACCATTGCTGACCTTTCTTTTTGAAAATGTTAGTCACCTGGTTTTGTCAAGATGACCTAATGGTCTCTAAGCTTCCTAAGTTTCTGATCTATGAAAACATGTGTATTACGTGTTCTGATTTCACTCTGACCTCACTCTCTGCACACTTTTTCCAGGCCAGTCAAGTAATATAGTCGGAGGATCAGCATGACAGGCAGGCAACTAGCATTTTCAGAAGGAGAAGTCAGCAGTGGTAGATCACATATTTCTCTCAGGACAGCTATCCTTTATAATGATGTACAGTACATTGCATTTATCTTTAACATTCCACAAGAGCGGGAAAGGCGTTAGCAGCCGCCACATCACAGGCTCGGACCTTATTCTGGTACAATGTCTTTTCTGGTTATTAGGTGTTTTCATGTGTGTTGTCTGCAGCAGGACATTCTCCAATGCACACCTTTACTCAAGTAAGCTAACATACAACAACAACTTCCCCCAGCAGGTACTAAGTTGGCTTACTCCTGAGAGTTGTCCTTGACTAGACAGAATATAAGTTGACTGAAAGTAAATCCTAACTATGGACCCTATAAAGTAGAACTCATGCAAAGCATAGTCCTGCTGTTACAATGCAAGGATAAAAGGAGTCATTTAGACAGAGAAGCAATAAAGTTTTGATTGGTTGTCTGATGTAATATTTCTACCAATTTTGCTGTCACTTTTGCTTGAAATAACTTCAGAATGAGATGTAACACATGTTGAATCATAGAAACATTATCAAGAGTAAGGGGGTTATTCAATAAAGGTTGAAGGGTTTGGAGAAAGCAGGAGAAGTGAACAATCTAGGACAACATAGCTGATTTGGAAAAAGTTTCCATTTCAGTTCACTTTCCAGTTCAGCAATGTTGTCCTAGATTGTTCACTTCTTCTGCTTTCTCCAAACTCTTCACCCTTTAGTGAATAACCCCATTACTCTTGATAATGTTTCTAAAACCCCCTAATTCTTTAGTAAATAAAAATAACAAAAGTAACAATTTATGTACAACATTCTGTACATCAAAGTATATGGCACAAAAGATGTTAACTGCACAAAATCCCCTGTCAGGGAACAGAACACCTCCAGGTGGTGCTGGAGCAGATCCTGCATTTCCAGTGCTCACCTGCAGGTGTCTCCAGGCAGCCAGTGGCTGTCAGGGACCTGAGCCCCTTCAGGTGGCACTGTGACGCTGGAACTAGGACCTGCAGCTCCAGGGCTCACCTGCAGGTGTCTCTGCAATTAGGCACCACCTGCTGATGATCTGGAGGATATTTAATCCCTCCCTGCAGTGAGCCTGGTCCCACAGTATTGTCACCATTTCCTGTATCCTGTTTCCTGTGACCTGTAACCTGATTCCTGTGACCTGATTCCTGGTGCCCCCTTGTACCCTGACCATTACTCCGTGGCTCCCCTTATGTTGCCTTGCTCCCCAGGTTTCACTTGCCCTGTTGTATTTGATTGTATTTGCATTTAGTTAGCTATTATTACTTGCTTGTGGTCACTTGTTTTCAGTGAGTTGAATAAACTGTGTGCTCATAAACATTGTCTCGTGTGGTCACACATTTGGTCCTCCCATAGAGATACCTGTACGCGGTGTGGGGACACCCGTGCACGGTATCGCTGACATCCCTCCATCCAAAATTAGAGGCACAGTATATAATGATAGACAGGGTAAATTTTCATCCAATCCAAAAAAGATCCAACTAAACAAATGAGAGGTAGTTGATATAGTGATATAGTGGATCTTACACAGACATCACAGCAATTCAGTGCCCAGCACTTTGTGAGATTGTTCGTATTGATAACATCTCATTCTGCTAACAATGGTTTTCCATCATATTTGAATATATGCCAATGTATTCGTTATTTTTTGTGCCAATCGTTCTCATTGGTTGTACTAGTTCATTAAATCTTCGATGGATCAGATGAACATTCATCTTGTCTATAGCCAGCCTTACAAGCTTTATTGGATGCAATTTCTATTTGAAATAATTCTGTATTTACCTGTTTTCTTTGTAATTCTAGCAAGTTGGTGTTGACCTGGAATGTTTTTGTTACAAATGAACCTGTTCCAGTAACAGTTACAACGAGAGATGTTTGACCCGATGGGAGAGCTGCCGCAAATTGGGATAGAGCCTGGAGAGCCATTACTGTGTCCTTAGTGAAAGCAAGAATTCCATGTTTAAAGCATGTGAAATACTATTTGCTGAAATTCAGTAGAAAAATTAGTCTAATTTAATATACATTGTGCGTGTAGTATTTCATTATTATCTGAACAATAGGAATTTTGTACTCACACATCCTTTTCTTGGAGTCAATTGAGTAACGCAGAATTTTTTAGACTGGTGTGCTATACTGCTGGCTAAATGAGAAATAGACACTGGCAACAAAAAAGTAATTGACCAGCACAGAATAATTTGCCCGCAACCATCATGACTCACTTTTCTAGCATAGTAGTACCAACAGCATAAAAATAAACATAGGTATAAGCAAGCCTAGAAACAAAGGGAGAATTTTAACCCCCCCATTCAGCTACGGTTGTTACCGTAGCAAAAACCCTCATTACCAAACAGAAGAACCATAACCCAGCATAAGCATGCTAGGCCCTTATACCAGTGAGTTATAGAAACAGGGACAGGAAACCTGCCTCAACTCTCATTAACTCCATGAGTAATTCCCAGATATACTGGCCTGATATAGTCCTGTTTAAAATGGAACACAGACAGGTAGTCACTGCCAACTGCAGGACTCTTATGGACAGAACACCAGTATAGATAATGAACTGTAGAGGACATTAGTATAAAACTGGGACTGACTAACTAGAGAGACTTCCATATTTTGAGTCATCCAACGCGAATCTATAAGCAGCTTTTGATAGTTGAAACATTTTCCAAATGAACAGAGAACAGCAGAGCTAAAGAAAACATGTGCACTCTCCTGATGAAACAGGCAAAAAGATGAGTCATAATGGTTGCAAGCAGGTTATCCTGTGCTAGCCAATGGCTTTTTTGTTGCCAGTGTCCATTTCTCCTGCAGGTGGCAGTATATTCCTACAGTCTAAGAACTCCTGTGTCTCTCAATGGACAAGAAAGAAAATTTTTGTTTTTCTTTTCAAAGTGTTAGGATTCAGAAAAGAAATGCCTATAAACTGATATAACCAAAATACAAACACCATTTACAAATATAAATGCGTTCAGTCCACAATAGCAATGTTACCCATGGTTCTAAGCAAACCTGATTTTGTAAATACATCCCTGGTCTGGCAATGTGAATACAAAGCAGGGACCTCTAGGTGCTTGCATGTCAAGTCCATTGTCAACCTAAGCATACCAGAGTACTCTGATCTACATTTACTTCCTAGATTGATGGTTTATGAGCTTGGCTCCTCTCCCTCCCACTAACCCTCACTATTAGCCAATAACTGTTATATATATCTTTAATGGCCAACCGTGAGGCTTAGAATGCAGGATTAGGCATTCAACCCATTGGCCCATGAAGTGCATATTAAGGGATCTAGGAATTCTAAACACTCAAAGTGTTTAAACTGAACTTGCAACTGATAGGCAGGCACCCAAAGAGGTGTGAGCTGTGCTGAGTGAAGATCTAACTGGTGATATAGGTACTGGGAAGTGAGTGGCATATTGTCCTCAGCACAGCTCACTTTCAAAACAGATAATTTGGTAGAAAGTGATCCTTTCAGTGTTGTTTTCTGCAGATTACTTCTAAACAATGCAGACTGGCTTAATCGTGGTAGTTGAAACTTAGCAGAAAATCTATGGTAACAATTATTATACACAAGATGTTTTGTCATTGTCAGCCAAACAATTTGAAACGAGTAATAGAACATACAAGGAGCTAAATCCCTTGCAGGTTGGGGCAGTGCTGGGAACTTGCCCATGCTTCATTCTCCAGCCCCCTGATTGACAGGAGTGATGGCAACGTCACTCCTGTCAGGCACAGCAAAAACCATCAAAAGACCTATTTCTTAGTATGGGATCCTGCTGGGGAGTAGGAGCAGACTGCCCTTGCTCTTGTCTGCTCTTGTCACATGACCAGAGATTGGAAAAAGGAGAAGCTGCCTTCATTCCCAGATGGGCAACACACTTCGCAGGAGACCTGAACTGTGAGCAACTCAACCCCAATGCTCCCCTCTTCCCCTGAAAACCCCAAAGACTCCTATAGCCACCCTACTTCCCTTAGTGGCCTTCAGCTCCTCTCTATTTCCTAGAGCCACCCAGGACCCCCTAGTTAAATGCAGCATCAGCATTTTTTCCTTTTAGTGACACAACTGATGCATGAACATTTTTTCCTTCCAGTGACTCCACTGATGCAGCAGAATGTTTTTCCTTTTAGTGACACAACTGAGGCAGGAACATTTATTTCCTTCCAGTAACACCACCAATGCAGTAGCATTCTTTTACTTCCAGTGACAGCACCAGTGCAGAAACATGTCTTCCCTTTAGTTACACCATTAAGGCAGGGAGATTTTTTCCTTGTGCCCGAGCATGTCTTCCCTCCACTGACACTATCAAAGCAGGCATGTGTATATTTACTGGCACAACTGATGCAGGAGCATTTTTTTTCCTCACACTGATACCAGGGCATTTCTTCCTTTGACACTGTTAGCCCCATATTTTACTGCATGGCAGAATGTGCACCACTATGTAACTCAAATGTTACATAAGCTTTGGTGAGCTGTGTGCACCTCTATTAGCCCAGCTTCTGCTCTGCTCATTAAAGACACCCTGGTACTGGATGACTTTGATGAAATAATCATCCACAGGAAACCATACCTAGTCTATTACAAAATATACTACTGGAGCATTTCAACATTTGAAGAGCAATAATTACCTGGGTAGAGACGTAACCCCCAAGCTGGTTCCTCTGCTCGCTAAGCCATTTCATGACAGGAAAACCATCTGCAATTCTGTTCTGTCGTTGGAAGGAGAGCAGTGCATAAGCTGCTGTCTCAATATCTGTTGTCCTTGGCTGCCAGTATATGTTGGCTGATGTAGAAGGTGCGGACCAGTACTTTTTCCCTCCTAAGTAAATAATCAGCAGTCAATAAATACTATACATTGTATTATTGATAGTTCTAGAAAAATTAGTTATTATGAGGTTAATAGGTTAATTTTGCACACAGAAGAGTAATTTATTATGAATTATCTATTGGTGACACTACTCTGCATCGCTGTACTGTATGTATATAGTGTAAAGGTGCTCATACACCTTACGACCATCGCAAGACTTTTGTCTTGCGATGGTCGTATGCTTCTTGAAAGCCCGTACGATCTGCCCACCTTGGACGGGCAGATTGTACTTGGGATCATCGAAAGCCCGCCCCGCTGAGGGGCTGGCTTCCGATATATATATATATATATATATATCCCAACCGGATAATAGGTGTTTATATAATCAAGGGACTATTTTAATTAAGAGATTTTCGAAGGAAACAAAAAAAAAGGGGGGAAGAAAAGAAAAGAATACAGAGCTTATTTGATGTCGGGGAAAACGAACTACAAAAAACCTAAAGCTGCTCTAGCGTTCACAGCCTGTCATCTAAACCCGCTGTGTTGCTTTTGTTGTACAGTAGAAACGGTCGCACGTCTTAGTTCACACTGCTCGATTCTCGTACGATCGCGGGATTTCGCCCGATTCTCGTACGAGAATCGAGCAGTGTATGGGCACCTTAACTACATGTGGTACAGTATATGTGACTGTGCCAACCACAAAGTATGCCATATTTTACTAGTAATTCTACTTGTAGAATGACCTTAGATGTAGATACAAGCAGCTACTTTGCAGTTACCAAAATATAGTATGCATTAGTGACATTTGTAAAACATTTCTACCTCGCTAATTAAAAATATCAATGTGTTTGCATGTAGGACACCTTACACCTGGAATATGCAATTTCTTTTACAATAAATGTTTCTGAAGTCAGTGGATATATATATAGAACATTATAGATCATCAGTGAATTAGGAATTTCTTGAAATAGTAACATTCCTAGAAATAGCAAAATATAACTAAATGCCTAGAGACAATAGCTCACTGGAACATATGCCATCACCTAAGCTTGAAAAATCATTGAATAAGAAAATAAATAAAAGATCATTAAAAAATGAAAAAACAAAAATAAAGATCACCAAATTTTTTTTAAAAAGAATAAAAAAAGAAACAATTGGGAGGAGTTAGCAGTGACAGCTAGCTCCGCCCAACTGTTTCCTATTGGCCCGGGACCTGCTAGAGTCTTCCAGCAGGTCCTGGCCAATAAATAACAACTTGGCAGAGCTGGCCGTGATCTCACGGCTGGCTCCATCCAGTTGCAATGACAGATCTGTCATTGCAACTGGACGGAGCCAGCCGTGAGATCACAGCTGACTTCGCCCAGCTGTCAGTTACGAGGCTTTTGGCCGGCCAATGGCCAGCCGATCGGCTTGCTTGAGGTTTGACTTTGGCTCAGTCAAGCCGGAGCACATTCCTTCGGCTCGACTGAGCCGCTCAGCCAGCTTCGGGAGCTGTACGGGCTATAGTGAATAGCCCGTACAGCAGCCCTTCGGTTCTACTGAACCGAAGGGCTCAGACGGCCGGAGCTAGCCGAAGGATCAGCCGGAGCTCTGGCTAATCTTTCGGCTGGCTTTGTGAATAACCCTGTAAGTCTTCTTCACTTGGTGTACAGTACTCCAAGCAGGAAGGATTATTTGGGGATGGGTTTAAGGTTAACAAGCTTTTAAAGTTAAGGAATTTGTGCAGATATAAAACAAAATAGACTTTATACATATCTATTTGCATTCTGTGATAATTACAGAAATACATAAAAGGTAAACATTGCTTATTAAATGTGAGTTACCTCAATGTGTGGTAACATGTGTTACGTGCATACCAATTACGTGCATTGGTGCACAACTGTGTGTTGCACTGGGATGTGTTGGCAGGCCATTGAAAGTAAATGCAACACATTAATTTCCACAGAAATGTGTTCTTTTTAATAATAAATGTTTAAAGAAATAGAAGTTGGGTGAAAGCACACACTTTCTATTTAAATGAAGTTATAAATTACCACAACTTCTATCTTATCCTACATTTTTTTAAACAATAAAGCGTATCAATCTATGTACTTACCATTAGACATAATGGTTGCCCTGGAGTTTAGCTTGTCTAGAGCAGGTTTCGCTTTTGAGCTGTTAGCCAGTGTTAATGCATATGCAACAACTGACAAGGTGTAATTGCTGGAAATTCCTTCGTCATACTTGCCCTCTAAATATTGTACAGCTTTCTGCACATTGAACGCATAGCGATTCTGAAAAAAAAAATACAAAGAAACCACTATAATTGTTTGCTATACTGACCTTTTGAAAATAAATAAAACATGTATTTGCCTTTAAAAAATATGGCATTTTAACAAAATAAATTTTGCAGTAGGAGCTGGTAACATTTTCTAACATAGAATACAGAAAATGTTATTATTGTCAACTTTGAAAATGGTAAATACTTTTTGTAACATTAACCTTTTTGAAATTACTATAATATCCAATATCTTTAGTCATCAATTATCGTGTATACCTAGCAAAAACATTTTTCTTTCTTTATAGTAGGGAACATTTATAACCCCTGTCAGGTTTATTTGCTGTCTATGAGGGTTATTCACAAAGCTAGCCGAAGGATCAGTCGTAGCTCTGGCTGATCCTTCGGCTAGTTTTGGCCGCCCGAGCCCTTTGGTTCAGTAGAACCGAAGGACTGCTGTACGTGCTATTCACTATAGCCCATACAGCTCCCGAAGCTGGCCGAGCAGCTCAACCGCCTAGACTAAATCGCCTGTCGCACAAAAAGGTGCAGGAGCTATTTTCGGGAGATTGTCACGTGGATTGGGTCCCATAGACATCTCTATGCATTAAAATCCACGCGACAACCACACGGTTTTCAATGAACAGTCCCGCAAACGAAAACACGTGGCAACCGCACGGAAACGGCTCAGCATCTAAATCGCCTAGGTGTGAACCTATCCTGAAGCGAAGAAAAAATGTTTTGCCTAGGGATACACCTGCAAAGCTATACAAAGCTTGCATAAATATTGTGTTATAACATGTGGTATACATGTATGGAGTACAATTAGTAACTGTGCACCCCTTACAGACTAAGTACTAAGTTTATTATCTCAAAGCCCTGCCTTTAAGTATCAACTTTGTAACAAGAGTTGAATAAGACTTCACTAATGAATATTAGTTCTGCAATAGTTTGTTGGTTTGAACTGAAATGTTATATTGCATTTCATTAAAGTAACACTAAACTCAAGGGTTAAATCTTAAAATTTATTTCAAGTACCTTAACTATTACCACTATCCTTCTGGAGGATGGCTACTTTTGTTCCCCATGGTCCCTGTGTGTGTTGTAAAGTAGCCACCGCTCCAAGCACATTCCCGTGATGGACTACAATCTCACCTTTAGTTTGCTTATGTGTGTTGAGATTGTAGTCCATCACGGGAGCCAGCAAAATTAGCCACCCTCCAAAAGGAAAAACAGTGTCAGAATGAATTCTGAGATGATTTGAGAATGTACACCCGAGTGATGTACAAATAAGAGTAATTTTTGTTAATAGTTAAGGTACTTGAATGCATTTTTAAGATTTAACTCCTGAGTTTAGTGTCACTTTAATACATTTACAGAGATGACAGGAAAGCCATTTTATTTTACTTTTTAATGCTGAAATGTGCTTACCTTGTAACCCTGATCTTCTAAAAGTGAGGTTAGTATGTAGGCAGTGAGGGTGACTGGACCGTTAAGCCCACCCTGGAGCTCTCTGTGTATTACTCGCCCGGGCTCAGAGAATATACCAGTGTCAATATCCTGATACTGAACTAGGAAGGCTACTGCTTGATTTAAGACATCTGGACTTATGTATATAAAAGGCCGAGCTTGAAGGAAACATCTCAATACAAAAGAAGTGAGCCTACAAAAAAGAACATTTTTACTGTTAAGTTAAAAAGTAAATAAGAAATGATTTAGATTTAAAAAAACACATGTGTATTTAGTAAGATAATATTTAAATATTCACAACTGATACAGAGACAGAGTTCATCACAGATCTTTCTTTCTACTCTCACAGAAGTTGGATTTGTAAAGAAAAAAAATATTGCTCTCACGCTTTAAAATGGCACCAAGCACTGGAAATGCTCCCTGTGAAACTTATGAATGCCTTTCATTTCCACTACACAAGCAACAATGGTTTTAAACATTTATATTGATATGTTCTACAGCACTTTTGAGGCTGTTCAACTTGTAGATTATGCTTCACTGTTTCTGTACCAATGGAATGTATTTATTGAGTATTGACCATTGTCCCTTCCTTTTCTTGAAATAAAGGGTTTTGTGTAAGTAACAATCCTCTCTAGGTCAGTTATGAGAACTAAAAATAGGGGAAAAAACTTGCTTTGTTAAAAATAATGCAATCCAGTTTTATTTACAGTGCTCTTAAAAATAGTAAGCAATCTTTTATAAGAGTTTAGCTCTACTTTAAATTTGTATTGTTTCTATGCCATATGGTTTAGGACCAACATAAATGTAATTTGCTTACCAGGTACTTCCAATCCCATCATAATTTCCAAAGGCACTGAAAGAGCCATCATTGTGGCGATAAAGTAACTCTCTTTCATAACCTGAAAGTATAAGAATATACAGTGGTATTAATAGTAAGGTATTTAAAAGGGTGCCTACTCTATAAGATTATGCAAACATCAGTAGCCTCGGACCGTGGGGCCCCATCTAAAACAACAAACATACTCTATATACAATATTTTTTGTAAAGTACATTACAGACAGATCTCAACATGTATATAATACAAATAGTAATTTAACTGTCAGATTGCAAAAATCTCTAAAAAGATAACTACTTTACCATAACAGGAGCAAGGGTTTCTACCTTACTGTGCATGTGCTGATTCCTCTCCATAATGGAGTACCTGTCTATTTGCAAGCTTACAGGGAGAAGAGCTGGCCAGGAGCACAGTTGCAGAGATGACAGGCCCCAGGATGATGAAACATTGCCTGATTGTGGGCTGAACCAACAGTGGGTAACTACGAAAATCTGCTTCTGAGGTATGAATTTTTAACCATGTCTGAACCCAAAACCAAAAAAACTCAATATATTGCACCTTACAAGTACTTAGATGCGGTGGCTGCATTGCTTTCCTTTTTTTATTATTTTTAAACTCTTTTTTCAGCTATTGTTCCTGTTCATAACACACTTTCTGTCCTTGGATGAAAACCCTCATTCACTGCACAGTATCTCTGTTGTCACCTTAGGATACTATCACTATCCTAATTTGGACAAAAAACACTTCCCCCTGTGCTCATCTCCATTATATAGAGGGGAGTTGTTCTGTAAGTCACAGAGCATAGCCAAAAATATTGATAACAATTGTTTGAGATTTCCGTTCAGTGCACATAACATTACAAGGACACAGAATTTCTATCATGATCATGATAAGAATATTTCTGTGCTTGCAGAAAATGTGCTTAGCCTGAGAAAGAAAATGATGAATCCACCACATCAAAGGGCTGGTAAGCTGTAATAAATTAAATTTTTGTTCTTGGGTTTAGATGTACTTTAAGTGAATATTTTGTGGAGAAAGGCTGGTGGAATTTCCAGACCCTTATATACACATATACTGTATGTTAAGATGCCCATAAATGTCTTAGAGAGGTCAGGCATATATGCATTATCTCACTGTCTTTAGATACCATAAAAGCAAAGTTCTGCATAGTTAAACATTGTGTTTATATGAATGGGGGGTGGGGGGTTTGAGTACTAAGGGTCCATTCACACCATCTGCATTGGAGCTGTGCTGTGCTGGCTGTTGATTCCAGCGCAGACCCAAGGCAAGACATGGCTATTTACCTTGTCACGGATGGTGCCCATTTACATGACCGCATTGCGGTAGGAACGCAGTGGTGTGCGCTGAGAAAAGTAAGGCATGCCTTACCTTTTTTCCTTGCGGCGGGATGTGACACAGTACAACCGACTCGCACCTCACTGTGTCCATAGAACTGAATAAAAGGTCACTCGTGACATTTCAATAAAGTTCTAACAAAAAAAGAACACAGTGTGATATGCTGGGATCAGCACTTTGGCACTGTGCCGGGGCACTGCACACCAGACACTGTGTGATTAACACAGCGTCTGGTGTGAATGGGCCTACTAATGCTCTTAGCATTGCTTATCTCCTCTGGTGAAATACATAATTTTGGCCCATAGACAACATATCCTTGCTCGATATGTCTGAAAACTATAGTGCACTTGCAATAAGAATATAACTGTTTGTAGTTACTGTATCCTCTAAATAATTTGTAACTTTCATATTTTAATGTGTTTGCAATCCATGATTGTACTACATATACAAGTCTGTACATTTTCCCCCTAGATATCAAGCTACAATCAATGGGAGGAATTAACAAATAGTGGTGTACGCATAAAGCCTGCACCACTCTACTAAACTGAGAAAAGGGAGTAGATCCTGCTCCTAATTTACAAAGGGGACGCAAGCAGTGCAGTGTATTCACTGCACAGAGAGGAAGAGACATGTAAGCGGTCACACCAGAAGACCTTCATCCTGTACACTAGATGCAGTCTAGTAGGGAGTTTTCTATAAGTTTGTTAATTAGGTGCAGAACCTGTGCCAGTTTTTATTTCACTCGGAAACAGAAAATGGCATGGGTGGTGCAGATAGACCTGAAGCCTATCAGTCACCATTCCCCGCAGGCATTCCCCCTCCCCTCTCTGTGTTCCTCCAGCATTCATTGGAGGGACAGACAAAAGAGAGGGTGGGCACGGCTGGCTGTGGCTCTAGAGAAGCAGAGCCAGCTGTCAATCAGGGAGTGGGGTGGATCCTGACAATATTGGAGGTTAATTTGGGCTGATCAGGGTTAAGTATGGAATAATAAGAGGTTAAGTAGGAATACTTTGTATTTTTTTTTTAAATACTTTTTTTTCTTCCACTTGTAAGGCTGCTGTAATGGACATCACATGAAGATCAGAGGGCACCTCCTTGATCTTCATATGAATGAAACAGTAAAAACTAAAAGTAACAATATTGATACTTTATGGGTTCAAAAGTTAAAAAACTAAATTTTTGAAAGCAGCAGCTACAGTCGGCTGCCTTATGTAGAAAATTGCCAGTAAAAAAATTTTTAGCCATACTTAGAATGCCTAATGTCCACAACTGGTTAAAGTAAACCAATCACAAACCCGTATACTGTAAGGATATTTTCAGTGACATGCAGCATATTCAAATCATTAAAAAATCCAGAGACACAGCTGAGATTTTGTGCAAATATCCACTTTTACCGTAAAAGTCCCAGTTGGTCCCACCCCACAAACCTACCAAGAATCACTATTGGTCTAGTATTGTGATGCTCAGTCTTAGTGACCAGTTTAGAAGCTCAGAAGTAGGTCAGGGATGTGAAAAGTTGAACCTTAATATCAAAGTTAAGGTTAACTTATTTAACATTTACAGGGTGTAAACTTATATATCACTTTTAATTCCACTAATGATAAACTTTGTTTATGTATTTTTCTATCATATGCTCAGTTTGATTAGGCCAGATTTTTCTCTAACCCAACATTTATTTAAAACTTTGTTTTGGCAAGATTTTATACACTTTACTAACACTTCTCTGAAAGTGTTGAGTGAGGGCACAGACTGATCAACACAGGCAATATCTTAAACACAGAATGTCAGACTCACAGCGTATATCATCTCAATTGTTTTTAATATTATTGTGTCACCATTGTCAGTTGTCAAAATTACCTTGTTCCATGAATTGTATGGATTTTTCCCTTATATCACCCTTTAACTGATTAGTTGCTTTTAAATAAATAAGAACATAAATATTTGGCGCAAAAACAATCATGTTTTGCTCTCCACAGCCATACGGCATAACGATAAGTGATTCAAGACCATTTATTGAAGGCCCAAGAAGATCTCCTGTTAAAACACAAACAGAAAATTGGATTAATAACTGTATTGTGTCATTCCTGTTTATAGTATCTATGTACATCACTTAGTAATACAAGCTTGTAACATACGGATTAACTCCATTCATCTTTAACAAGCCAAGCTGGCGATAGAAGGGCCAAAGAAGATATGACCAAACAAGCAAGGTGTAGAAAACTGTAAACTATGAATTAAAATACAAATAATCAGAAATTTTAAAAAATCTTGAAACTCATTCATTGTGCTGATTGTATGTGCTAGTGATAAAGAAGATTTCACACACATGTTGCAGAAAAATCATGTTGTGCTCAAAATGCTGCAAGCACTATTTTGATCCCACCGGTCCGCACTGCAGGAACAATGTGCCTTGCGATCCCGTGCAGGTGATCACATTGCGGCCGAAGGGCATGGCTACGGTGCCATTCATTTCATTGGCCCGCTATGCCCCCTCCTGCCCGGAAAAAAGTGAGCCGGCCGCAATGCGAGGCAGTGCGTTCCGGCCAGAATCGGACCGGAACGCACTGCTTATGGTGTGAACTAACCCTAAAGGGAACAAATTCATGATACAAAAAACTGCCCATGTAGTCGGCTTCTAAGAGCCGCAAACAAACAACAAAATTATTTGATGAATCAAGAAAAGGAGCAATTCTTACCAATTACCGTGATGAATGCCTCTTCACTGCCTTGTACTAAATCACTAGGGAAAGTGAATGAGAAACTCTTTACTGATACTGTGCCAGGTGCATTTCCACTGCCACGAACTTCAAAAAGTGCTGCCTCTGAATAATAATTCTTCACACCTTCAGCCTTTTAAAAAAATACATAAATAGATCATCTTTATCTTAGTTGCCAATGCTTAGAAGATTTTACATTGCTTTAGTCCCTACTTACTATAACCTGCATGGTTATACTGTCTCATGGATCCCAAGCCCTACTCCTATAGAAACCATGATTTCCATACACTGCAGTGATGAAGAACAGCTGTGTGCCGTTTGGAATAAATGGTTCTATAATATTGGGCAATATTGATGCACATCCCAAACTGCTGGTGTATTGTGCAATACAGCAGCAGTTCGGAATGTGCATCATCAATGGGATGCAAAGCAATGGTTTGTACGGTTCTGTCTACTGTTTTGAAGTGAGAAATAATCCTCTTTTTTGGGGGATATGTGATAGTTATATGTTTTTAGAAGGATTTACTGTGTTACAAATCAGATTATTAAAATAGTTGGTTGAAGTACGACCTATTACTAAAGAATAGTCTATATGAAATATAGACTCTAAAATAATCCACAACCAGTTTTTTAGAATTGCACCTGTGACACCCACATGCCATCATATTCCAAAGTTGGCTTCACACTATTGCAATGCAGTAACACAGTAAAATGTATGGCATCACAAGGCACTTTGGCATGTTGAGATGCTTTTATTTGGAATGGCACCCGTATCCCACTGCCCAAGTACAGTAGGTATCGATAGACATGCCCAGCAGCACACCACAATGTATGTGCTTCATTAAAAGAAAGGTACATATGCAGTTTGCTTCTTGTTGCCATGCTTTGGTGGCCCACTCTATGAATGGGCTGTTTTAATGCAGCACACAAAATACAGCACGTTATCGCACTTGTGGTACTGCACCGCGCTGTCTGATGTGCTGGGGCCCTAAACGAAATGAGAAGACAGAAATATTTTGCTGCGATTGGTGATATGGTTATTTAAAAGGGCATAATCCAAGGCTTTCATCCCAGCTATATCAACTAGTCAGTTTCTTACTTGTAACAAGCATACAGGATAGGGCTCCAAAATTCCAAAATTGTTTGGCTTTATGCTTGTTCCTGGTCATTAAAGAAGAACTCTGGGCAGAAATTGTATTAACTCTTACAGTGGGGCTACCGCACACTGCATGGGGTAACTGCTCATTTTTGCCTAGGGTCCAAAAAAAGTTATACTCACTTGATCCTCACAGCTGGCAGCGCTCCCTCCAGCCTCTCTCCCCCTCCGCTGGAGCGATGGTATGGCTCTCTGCATCCTCATGTCCTCATGTCCTATACACTGAGGAGAATTTATCAACACTGAAGCAGACAAAAACTGGAGCAGCTGTGCATGGCAACCAATCAGCTTCTCCCTTTTATTTTCAAATCTTACCTGAACAAACTGAAGAAAGAAGCTCATTGGTTGTCATGGGCAACTGCTCCAGATTTTGTCTGCTCCAGTTTTGATAAATTCCCCCCCACTGTATTGACGTGATAACTCGAGGATTCCTAGACCATTGCAGAGCAGGGGGAGAGACGCTTTGGGAACTGGTCTAAGAGGTGGCCGGCTGGGAAGATTAGGTGAGTATAACTTTTTTTTTACCTTACGCAAAAAGGACCAGTTAACCCTTGCAGTGTGAGGGTAGCCCCACTGCCAGGGTAATAACATTTCTGTCTGGAGTTCTTATTTAAGTAACTTACTAGATGTTAAAGCCATGGTGAGGATGACAGCTCCATAGCCTGCATCTTAGTCAGTAAAGTCTGCTCCTAAATACCAATCTAGAGATGAGTGACAAAGGGAAGATCCACTGCAATGGTACAATGTTTACTTTTCCCAGGATAATAGTAAACTAGTATGATAAAGGTCCAAATACTCACTTACTAGTTTATTGTAATGTAGAGTGACAGATCCCCCACCCCGTCCCGAAAAAAAGAGATGTGCCCTCTGTTATTATAAGGAAGTGCTACACTTTCTTTTTAGACTAGCACCTAACAGTGAAGTTTATTAGTTCACTATCTTGGAGTATAGGAAGACAATTTATGTTTGTAGCACTTAGATAGGTAACATCAATGCAGGGTATTTATGGAAATCTCAAAGAAATTACTAAGTTTTACTTCAAGTCATGATTAAGCATATCAGCTACACACAATACACAGATGCCGATGATAATTATGTAACCTCCCATTAAGAATATTCAAGGCTCTCTTTGTGTAATATCATAAATAAGACTTACCCTCACTACGATATTTCTGATCAAAGTTTCCGACACTGCTTTTGAAGTAGCTGTAACATGAATTACTATATTGCCCAGTACTTTTGGTTGTATAGGAAAGAAAACAACCGTTCCATTCTCTCTGAGAACTGTCACATTGCGCTCTCCTGTGACAAAGCCTGTGGTATTATTAGGTACAATTATGTCAAATGAATTGCTAGACACCAATGTGATTATAACCTGAAACACAATAATAAATTACGTTAGTACACTTCATATTTGGTAACACATTTGTCCCTCTATTTTTAGCATAGCTGAAAAATAAACTTGTCACCATTGTCAAAACAGTGCCACAAAATGTAAAAAAAAACCAGACCTGCAAGTCTTCTTTTAAGGAATTCAACAACATTACTTCCAGGATAAACTGTTCGCCTCTTGTTAACGTATTTGGCATATTAAGTGTCATGACAAGCGGTTTCACCACAGACAGCTAGAAATGAAAAATAAAATATATATAGAATATTGCTATAGCATAAAATACAGAAATAAATAAACAAACAGTAAGCTAGTAGCGTATATGGCATGAATTACAAGTCATAAATGAACAATCAATAACAAATTAAAAATAGAAAGAATGTATAGAATTTTTAAAGCATTAAAGGATCAGTCCACTCAATGCACACATCTCAGTTTTGGGTAAATGCTGCTTGTTTTAACCACTGAGTCATAGTGCTTCTGAGGCAAGATCCCTGCGCCTGAGTTGCTGGGTATATACACTTGCTGCAGCCGTTGTAAGGAGTTTATCTCCCCTATTAATTTTTACATCTATACAGTTCCATAATTATACTTCCCAGGTCCACTGCCTTGTGCCACCAACCTCCTACCCAAGTCAACAAATTAGCCCAGGTATCACACTTAAAGTAGTATTAAACTCTCACTTCCATAATTAATCCATATCAATTAAATATACAGTATAGTGCCCGTGGGAAAATGTATTTATTTAAATTTTTTCTATTCTGACATGGCTCGTGTCAGAATAAAGAAAAAAAGACACATCAGTGTTTCACTCCTGGGCGGCCGGGAGATGCTGAGTCGCACTCTTTCTGCACTTCGGGTCGGCTGATCATGCTGAGCATGTTCGGCCGACCCGAAGCCACGCGAAGCAAGCCGATCTACGGCTGATTTCAGCCGATGTATGGCTGAAATCAGCCATACCAGCCTGAAGTGAATAGCCGAACAGTGTTCGGCTCACTTCACTTCAGATCGGTCATTTACTCGGCTGCCCTCGGCAGCTTAGGGAATAGACCCCATAGTGTTTCCAAACAGCTGGCTCCAACTCTCTAAGCTCAGCTTCCCTGAAATTGCCTTGCTGTGCCTGTGTTTGTGGCTTTAAATCTGGTGCCAAGTCAAATTCAGCCATTTATTGTACTTATTCATTCAGCACAACATAGAAAAGGTCAGTTTAGTTCAATTTTCACTGGATTTTCTCTATGTAACTCTAGCTGTATTGTTAGGTATATGGCCGGCATAAGGGCATCCTCCTTCACCTTCATTTATATTGAAGGAACAGGAAGGATGGTTGCTATTATTTTTACACATTGTAACTGGGATCCTAATTAAAAAAATGAGTGAATTTTCTGCTATTTTGTGAGTAGTGTCCTTGTATTGGTAATCACAAAAAGCATAATTTGTACTATTTACAAACTTCTTTAATAAAATATATTATAATATAATAAATTATAATAACATATATAATAAAGGTCTATACCAAATAGGACCTTTCTTTAGATATTGAAAGCGCTTATCTTTGTCTTATTGCCTTACATTTGCCATCTTCAGAACTGTTCCATTTTAGGCAACTGCATCATTTTTTGTGTTCTCTGGAAACGTCTGGAGCTAACTTCCCCCTCCAGGCTATGAGAGATGATGTGTGCAGGCAAGGGGATAAAGGGGGGGAATCTCTTATCTACTCTCTTCTCATGGGGGAATTCTCTAAATAATCCTATATGTCATCGTGGGAAAAGGACCTGGGTGTGTTATTTCACTAGTCACCTGTCATCAATATTGCTCCCGAGTGTCCCTAGGCCTACTTAATGTTTCCTTGGTAGAGGCTAACTTCAAGGTGCTATCGTGCTGGTACCTGGCCCCTTTTAGGTTAGAGATTATATTCCCCCGGGGACAACGCCTTTATATTTTGGAGGGTGCAACCAGCCTGCCACGATGTATCATATTTGGTGGCTATGTCCTAAATGATGCCCCTTTTGGAATAGATTATTTGCCTTAGTCTATAGAGTGTTTTGCATTAGACTACCTGGAGATCCACAGTACGCTTTACTAAACCAATCAGTTACGGCAATCTCTAAAGCTCAAGGAAAATTCCTTTCTGCTTTTATCAGTTAACGTTTTAATAGCCAGAGCCTGGAAAACACCCCCTGTATCTTTCAAATATGTTAAGTCTAAAATTTCAGGGATTATGATCCATGAAAAGCTCTATAGTAGTTTTCAGGTTAAATGGAAACAATTTGAGAAGATCTGGAACCCTTGTTTACAGTATACAGGTATAACTGACGCATTCTGAAGATAAAATGAACTATGGTACACATGAAATGGGGGCACACACCCTTTGGAGTCTTTTCTTTGTTCTTTCCCTTCTTTCTGTTTTTCTCTTTGGAAGTTATTTTCCCTCCTGGACCTATGATGCTTATGTCCGATTGTTTTGATTCAACTAGACCAATATGTTTCTTATTAGGACTTGCTAGTACTTTGCCTCTGCTTTATTGGTCAAGATGTTTTTTGTAAGCTGTACTTATTTATATTTCTGTATCGCTGTACTAGCTGGATATTTTATCTTTTTTTTTCTATGCACACTGCATTTTACTTTGTTACACAGATCTCGGAGGGATTTCTTTTACATTCATTGTACTGTTACTTTAATATGTTGTTTACTTGAAATAAAAACTTTAAAAGTTAAAAATTACCTCAATAAGCGCATCAGTAACTCCCAGTCCAAGTCCCTCAGACATAACAAATGCTGTGGCCACCCAAGTCGTATTTTTGTCTGGCACAGTTACTAGAAGATTTCTTAATAAACTCGAGCTGTTGAAAGACGTGGTACTGAGTTACTTATGCACATTGCTTTACTATTCTTGAATACAAATCAACAACTTTTGCACTCTGTCTTCCCTATCCCATAATTAATTACATTACTTATGATCCATGTGTTCTTTTTTTGTCCTCGCTCAGGACACCTAACAGTTTTTTTTTTTTCCTCTGCATTTTTTATGCATGGTAATTACCCACCTCGGGTTCAGCCTCTTCTCCCGGGTGGTAGATGTCCCTGTATGTGGTAAATCCATAGGGTGGGACATGCCTTTTGCCAGGCTAAGAGACCGGAGGTAGCCTAAATGGCTACAGGTAGAGGGGCTGGTAAGTAGGACTCATGGGGCCGAGGTTCTCTGCCGATCGTCGGCTGTGGGTGCGTTCCAGCGTGGTGCGCACTCTCTATGCCTCACACGCTATTGCGGTAGTAAGCCGCGGCCGCCAGTGACCCTGCGTTCCGGCTTGGAGCGCAGACCCGCCCCTTCCCGTTCTGGATTGGCTGGCGGGGATAGAGGGGCGGGGCGTAGTGCGGTCCAGCGTGCAGCGCATGCCGGAATCCGCAGTGCGTCTCCACGCAATGGAATGGGGCAGGCAGCTTAAAGACTGCGGTTCCTGAGTGTAGTATTGCTGCTGATCGGTACCAGGTCGTTGTAGACTGTCCATCACTGTGGAGTGCTGTCGATCACCAGGTAAGTCCTCACAGAGGGTTTGTTTTGTTCTAGTTTCTATTTTGTTGCTACTGGGGACAGAGTGTTTACAGGATATTGTGATTTCCCTAGTGAGCCACCATGAGTCCGGGTAGCCCAACTGGACAGGCACGAAGTTCATCAAAATTTTTGAGGCAGTTTTGATTTTTTATTTTTATTTTTATTTTTATTTTTTTGCATAAAAGAGTGCTGACATGACTGGGGTGTCTCGTATCAGGGGGAAGAGCCCTAGGTATAGGAAGCACAATACTAAGTCACGTTCTCACAGGACTTCTCCTGCGGCCGAGGCTAGGCCAATTAGACTTTCTACTCATGGGTCGCCCCAGCTTATGTCACCCAGGCTACGGTCTAAGTCGCCACCAGCTGGCCCATCCTCTGAGAATTGTCGGGCATGCGGTGCCCAGGCACTACCTGAAAAGCTATTGTGTTCCACTTGCATTAGAGAATTGGGGAAAGACACAATTTCTGACTCACAGGATATTAAAGCTTATATCCGAGAAGCAGTGGCAGAAGGTATTAGAGAATACACAGGAGGTAGTGCTTCGTCTAAACGGCGAAGAGATGAAAAGAGACCAAGAGAGGTGGTCTCATCTCAGGATTCAGATCCAGAGGATTCAGATGGGGCCAGGGAGGAGATGCTCGATGAGAATTTCTCTTTTGACTTTGCACTAGTGGCGCCCTTCATTTCCGCAATTAAGCTCGCATTGGGCTGGGAGGAGGATCCCGTCCCCATGGATAAGCAAAGGAGATTTTTTCCAAATATCAAAAAGGAATTGCCTTCCTTTCCACTATTCTTTGAAATCAAAGAGATTATTGAGGAGGAGTGGGCAAGGCCGGACAGAAGGGGCAAGTTGCCCAATCGCATGTCAAAGTTATATCCATGTCGCCCCTCGGATGCCGAATTGTGGGATACTACTCCTAAGGTGGATGCAGCCTTACAGAGGCTGGCTAGACATGTACTCTTGCCTTTAGATGACTCTGTTTCGTTCAAAGATACCATGGACAGGCGGCTGGAGGTGGGTTTGAAAAAGATCTACGCCACAGCAGGGGCATCATGCAGGTCTGCGGTGGCTTTGTCCTCAGTCAATACATACTTACCGTAATTTTCCTTTCCTGGCTCTCCTCATGTCGGCATAGCTACCCTCCCATGCCTTCGCTCGACGTGCTATGGAACACGTGTGTGGTGGGAAGGGGGGCTTTATTCTCTTGTTAGGGGTGGTCCTATTGGGAGCCGGGGGGGGGGGGTTAACCCATTAGTATGCCGACATGAGGAGAGCCAGGAAAGGAAAATTACGGTAAGTATGTGATAACAATTTTCCGTTATATATATACACACCGGTACATGTAACTTCTCCAACTTCCACATTTCTCTGCTGCCACTGCTTCTGAGCTCTGTTTTGTCACCATTTCACCCCAGTCTTAACTATTCATACTCTCATGCGCCCTCCCTCCCAGTTTCAACAGACTTCTCAGCGCACTGAAAGTGGCCAGATGGCCATTAAGGTGCTGCATCTGCTCCTTCTGCAGGTAGAGGAGCTGGTTGGCTGCTTAGGGATATACAGTATTTGTTTTGGTAGTGCTGAATTTAAAAAAATACTTTGTGCCAGAACCATGATCCTAGCTTCTTTATTAAAAGGCCAAACTGCAAATACAATGTGCTGCTAACTCGAATTATTTTTATTATTTGCAAAGCAAAAAGTAGAATCTTTAAAGTTTACATTAGTTCTTTTTGTAGTTCTGAATTAAAAAACTTTGGTATGCTCGCCTTAGTGCTAGAGGAGCTTTTCCCAGCACTTAAGTATAGTGATACCTTATGTTAGATTCTAGCCAAATCCAGGTCTCTATAAACTCAGGCTTGCTTTGGGGTTCTATGAATGAAGGTATTCCATTTTCTGGAATATTTTCTTCTTCTCTTTCTATGAATGAAGGTATTCCATTTTCTGGAATATTTTCTTCTTCTCTTTCTATGAATGAAGGTATTCCATTTTCTGGAATATTTTCTTCTTCTCTTTCTATGAATGAAGGTATTCCATTTTCTGGAATATTTTCTTCTACTCTTTCTAAAAAATAAATGAAAACAAAATAATATTAATACTCAAATACTGCATATAGCACATTACTAATTAGAAAACATTATGTAAAACTGGTTGGCAAAATGAAATAATAATGATAATGAATACGGGCATAATTATTATTGGCACAAACTCTTTTCTGAAACATGAATTTAAAGAAAAATGAAATATATTTGTTTTAGAACATAATACATCAAGGCCAAGTTCTAATTATAACAGAAATAATTGCACAGCGCTAAAAATTGAACAGCAATAAAAATAAATCTAAATGAGTGACTTAACCTATATAAGGTGCATAAAATTACTCTCCACAACGTGAATAACAGATAATTCAAAAATAGGCGTAACAAAAATAATTAAACTTGTATAAATAGAAAGCTTTTCTAAACCATCAGAAAAAGTTCATCAATAATTCCAAACTCCAGTGTATCCAAATATGTGATAACCTCTCAGCTGAAAGTGCTTGTGCATACAATGTAACTAATTTACTTGATACTAAATAAAATAAATACCTGTAAAACAGTAAATCAATTATGTCAATTGAATTGAATTGTCCATAAAGTGTTTCCAGTGTATCAACTTCACACAACGTGCACAAAAACACTCCTGTGCTGTGAATGTGATCTTTTCCAGGTGGAAACCGGAGCCCCAAAGGTATTAAACTCACCAGAACTGTTCACAGTCAACAAATGCAAAGCAAATGCCTTTGGCTCGGCAGCGCCGCTCAGCTGCCATTGGCTGCTGTACGGCTTATTGTGAAAAGCCCGTACAGTAGCCCTTCGGTTTCGACTGAACCAAAGGGCAGAGGTGGCCGAAGTGAGCCAAAGGATCAGCCAAAGCTACGGCTGGATCCTTCAGCTCCTCTGTGAATAACGCTGTTAGTGTCAAGTCAACTAGTTAGATTGTATGCACAAGCACTTTCTACTGAGAGGTTGTCACATATTTGGATACACTGGAGTTTGGAATTATTGATGAACTTTTACAGTGAATAATAAAATATTTACACTTGATGCTCTGGCACTTTTTCTGATGGTTTAGAAAAGCTATTTATTTATACAAGTTTAATTATTTTTGTCAAGCCTTTTTTTTTATTACTTGTTATTCACGTTGTGGAGAGTAATTTTATGCATCTTATATAGGTTGTCACTCATTTAGATTTGTTAAATTTTTAGCGCTGTGCAATTATTTCTGTTATTATTATAGCATTGTGCTTTGAACATAGCAGCTTTAGATTGAGGTGAGAATTATATCCATTACTGCAGGATCAGTGTTTTTTGCAAGTTCTAATTATATCAGTGAACTAAAGAAACTACAGTTTGTTGAAAACCCAATTGACAGGACCAGCTACAGTAATAAAACGCATCCTGCCTCCATACTTGCCTCAATTTGTTAAATATATTCCACATATACATTTACAAAATATATAAATTTATTAGCATATAAAGTTAAAAAATTCAAAAAAAGAAAGTTTATCATTAAATCACAATTATATAAACAATGCAATTTGAATGAACACTGCAATAATGATTAAAACGTTGCTTGCCTATTATATGAGTTAGAAACAAACATTTACATACTACGCAGTATCCACATTATTAAAAATGTGTATATATATTCTTCCAATGTGCTAGAAGACGTAGGTATTTGTTATGTAAAATGTTTCACAAAAATAGCAGAAACAAACTTTCTGAACAAAAATCATGGCTATTTCTATTGTTAAGGAATAGTCAGTACACTAGTCAATAAATAGTCTGTAGAATAGCCAGTAAAATTTCCATTTCAGGCTTACCATATGTATTATAGACTATGGCATCAGTCAGACGTATCGGAGAGCTCTGTTAATATAAAAAGGAATACTTTTTTGATATTAGGTTGATATAATTTGCTAATATGTATAAAACAAACAAGGAAACAAAAAAACACTAATGATATTTGGAACATAGAGCATTGTGCCAGCATTTTACTGCATGAAAAAGCAGTTCACTAAAATTCCTGTGTGTCACAACTATGCACTGCAAGTACAAATGTATTAATCAGGGCTGGATCGCAGTTTGGCTTTCCCAGCCTACTTTGCCAACTTGCTAGCCTTAATGCACTTAAAGGATCGAATATCTACCTGTACAAGACAAGCTGGGGCTGTGGGTAGATATAAAGTGACAGTCTGCCCAATCTGTAATTCTGCACCTACGATCCGATCAACCCCTATAAGATAACAGTGGGTGTCTTGAAAAAATTTGATTACTTTACTTTTTTTAAGTAGTGAGGCTGAAAATTGTCAACCAAACAAGCTACCCAGCTCCCATCACTGTTCAGGTATTCTGAAAGCAACGGAGACCAGTTGTCAGGCTATAATATGCTGCCGGCGCATTACTCCATCCACGCTGTTTAGTGTGAATGGTTGAATCTGTTAGATTTAATTTGTTAGATTTCACATATTGACACACTATTCTGTTAGCAGTTCAGTTCTAGTTGTTAAGTCGTTCAGTGGGTGATCTGCAGTTATTCAGTACACTTTTCTAGCAATCAGCGGTGTAACTAGAAATCAAAGGGCCCCATAGCGAAATTTTATATGGGGCCCTGTGATTGCTAGTTATGCCACTTGCAGAGCCAACCTGATATACCAAACAGCCCACCTGAGAGTGACCCTGCAGAGCCCACCATAGACTCTCTATAGTGGGCTCTGAAGGGTCACAGATGGGCTGCACACCTCTTACCTGTCAGCGCTGTCCGCCTTCACGGTCGCTGGGCCTTGCCTCCTCTTCTGTCCCCGGGCCCCGCCTCCTCTTCTATCGACAGGCCCCGCCTGCTCTTAGGTCGCTGGCCAGTGATGTAAGAGGAGGTGGGGTTGCTCTTAGGCGGGTCCTGCCTCCTCCTTCACTGCGAACGCCAGCCTCTTCTGCCGCAGCTGCTGGCTGTCACTGACACAGCTCCGCAGCGGCTGTGAGGGGAAATCAGTGATCTTCACAGCCTATGCTGATCTGTGTCAGGGACAGCCAACACCCTTACATGCCATAGCAACCCAGGCGGCCCACGCGGCATCAGAGGGATGCCCTGGGTTGCTATGGCAATTGTTACGCCACTGCTAGCAATGAAAATTTACCTGCTGTACAGCTTTACAGGTGTAGCATTAAAAAGGTCTAGCCAGATATCACTGGCAGGCAGTGAGTAGTCTGGATCCTTTTATTGTACATGTTAATGTATTACTGACTGTCAGCAACATGACTGGATAGAATACTAGGTGTCACCCTTATTGGCTCTGCCGCTCTTTTACATGGCCTATGTGGTTCTGTGCAGAAATCTAGCACTTGATAGATAATCATAATGATGATTCTGTCTTATGTCATCCATTTATGGACATCTTCAGAGCAACAGTCTCTAGGTAATTGGTTATCATGCTACTGCCAGAGCAGCCAACAAATACCAAATATACCTTACATACAGTGGCTCCAAGGGGGCATTATTGCTGGTATTGTTGCTGGTGGGTATTTCCCGGGGTTATTGCTGTCCCTGACACTTGCTAGGGATTATAATTGCTGGCCCTGACACTTACTGGGGGTTATTGCATGACCTGACTTTTCTTAGAGTGATCATTGCTGGCCCTGACACTTGTTGGGAGTTATTGCTGTGGGGCTGTCATTGCTGGACCTGATACATGCTGGAGGTTATCATTGCAGCCACTAACATTAACAATGAGGCTTATTTTACTCCACAATCTCTTCAGTGTACCCCCAAGCCATATCTTGTCTGTACCTTAGCAAATTAAGGGGGAAAGGTGGCACACTACATCCTAAACACCGTGCAGCAACACCCACTTTATTGATTATGCCCACTTTATGGCTACTCCTACAAGCACGCTGCAGGTGTCTCTCCACACGTGCCATATTTTTTTTCTCAATCCTTTCAAGGTGTTGCTCCTAATTCTTTTCATATTTTGGTAACTCTGGTTTATTTTTACACCCACTGACACCAGTTATTGAACAGATTTTTACATTTACGGGACAGAACTTTAAGGGAGACTGTTTCATACTTCTGACCAGTATAATGTACACTTCAGTGTACTTAAAAAGGGCTACAGTCCGTGTTCTTATTACATTGTGAATGGTATCTATAGAACATTGAATCTTTCATTTTCTGACTAAGTGTTTCTCATTATGGTATGTCTGCTTTTCAGAGGCGGCTCTAGATTTTGCGAGGCCTTAGGCGAAACCTAAACATGAGGCCCCACTCAGGCCTTTGGGGTCTCACCAGGGCTCTGTGGGGTCACACCAGGGCTCTGTGGGGTTTAATAAGCCCTGATTTAACCAGGGCTCTGTGGGGACTGGTTAGACATCACAGAGCCCTGGTGAGACCGCACAGAGCCCTGGTTAAACCAGGGCTCTGTAGGGTCTCACCAGGGCTTTGTAGGGTCCCAACAGGGCTCAGTGGGGTTTAACCAGTTAAAGTCCACGGTGTTACACCCCCTTCCCATCAAGGCCATTTTTCAGTATTTAGCACTGCAGTACTTTGACTGACAATTATTCCGTCATGCAACGCTGTACTGAAATTAATTTTATACCATTTTTTAGGGACAGATAGAGCTTTCTTTTGGTGGTATTTAATCACCACTGTGTTTTTGTTTTTTTACTATATTAAGGAAAAATTACCAAATTATTTTTTTTAAACTGTTTCCCCTATATTAAATGATAAAACATTTATTATTACCCAATTTGTTGGTAAAATATAAGACACGGGGTCACGTCAGGTAAAAAGACACCAAACATGTCAAGCCTTAAAATTGTGTGCTCGCGCGAAACCTCATAAAACTAAAAATACCCAAAATTGGCCATAGGCGATGCTTTAAAAGCTTTTACCGCTCATCAGTTTAGTGTTATCAGTGATTGATGGCCCTAAAATTATTGCTCTCACTGTGACGTTTGCGGCGATATGTAACGTGTGTAGCGCAATTGTCGTTTTCGCGCGCTGGTGCACCGAACACGTATTTATGTTTATATGTGCGTAAACGTGGGGGTGGGGAACTTAAGAATTTTTGGGGGTTTTTTTAAACTTTTTTTATATGTGACTATTCTTTTTTTTAACTCTTTTTATGTTTTTGTACACTTAATGTCATTGCTATTACATAGGGGGATAACAATCCCCCGTTTATAATAGCAAAGGCACACTGACAGGTCCACTATGACTATGGCACACTGACAGGTCCTCTTTATGGAGACATTAGGGGTCTCTAGGACCCCTAATGTCACCTGGGGACCCCAAAAGAAGCTGATGAAGCAGAGATCTGCTTCATCAGCTTCTTCTCTCTGGCTATAGCAGCCAGATGACTGACAGGTGAATGCGGAAGTGATGTAATACACATTACTTCCGCATTCACACTATGGAGGGAGGTCAGCAAGGAGGAAGATGCTGACCTCCCTCCCATCTTACCTCCTGACACCCTCCCGAGCCGGTCCCGGGCCTCAGATGGGGCAGCGGATCCCAAGATTGAAGGTAAGGGGTCAGGAGTGGGGGCGACGGCAGCACTCGAGGGGAGGGAGGGGGGGCACGCAGCCAGCACATATACCCGATCGGCAGGCTATAGAGCCGCTGATCGGGTATATTTGAAACAGCCGGTAATGGCTCTTTACATTGGATGGGTTGCGAGCAGAAGAAAAATGCCGTCTAGAGACGGCAACCCGCCAATGCGACTGTGCCGTCCCTCCGTTTTTTTGCAATGGGCGGACGGCAACTGGTTAACCAGGGCTGGTGAGACTGCACAGAGCCCTGGTGAGACCCCAAAGTGCCCTAGTCTCACCAGGGCTATGTGGGGTCTCACCAGCCTGCTTAGACCCCCTCGGAGCCCTGGTGAGACCCCAAAGAGCCCTAGTGAGACCTCTAGAAGCACTGGTAAAACCAGGGATCCGCAGGGTCTCACCAGGGCTCTGTAGGGTCTCACCAGCACTAGGGCTCTGTAAAGCTATCTGGGGTCTCACCAGGGCTCTTTGGGGTCTTCACAGGGCGTCTGGGCTCTGTGGAGCCTAACCAAGACTCTGCGGGGTCTAACCAGCCTTGTTAAACCCACAGAGCACTGGGGAGACCCCACAGAGCTTTGGTGAGACCCCACAGAGCTCTGGTTAAACCTGTAGCATCTCACCTGGGCTCTGTAGGTTCTCACCAGCACCAGGGCTCTGTGGGGTCTCACCAGCCTGGTGAGACCCCCACAGAGCCCTGGTGCTGGTGAGAACCTACAGAGCCCAGGTGAGATGCTACAGGTTTAACCAGAGCTCTGTGGGGTCTCACCAGCCTGGTGAGACCCCCACAGAGCCCTGGTGAGATACCAAAGAGCCCTGGTGAGACACCAAAGAGCCCTGGTGAGACACCAAAGAGCCCGGAATAAATCAGGACTCTGCAGGGTCTCGCCTGGGCTATGTAGTGTCTCGCCTGGGCTATGTAGTGTCTCGCCTGGGCTATGTAGTGTCTCGCCTGGGATATTTAGGGTCTCGCCTGGGCTATTTAGGGTCTCACCTGGGCTATTTAGGGTCTCACCTGGGCTATTTAGGGTCTCGCCTGGGCTATGTAGGGTCTCGCCTGGGCTATGTAGGGTCTCGCCTGGGCTATGTGGGGTCTCGCAGGGCTCTGTTGGGTCTCACCAGGGCTATGTGCGGTCTCACCAGCCTGGTTAGACCCCTCAGGGCCCTGGTGAGACCCCACAGAGCCCTGGTTAAACCAAGGCTCTGTAGGGTTTCCCCAGCACCAGGGCTCCATGGGGTCTCACAATGGCTATGTGGGGTTTCACCATCCTTGTTAGACCCCACAGAGCCCTGGTGAGACCCCACAGAGCCCTGGTGAGACCCCACAGAGCTCTGGTTAAACCAGGGCTCTCCACAGGGCTCTCACCTGCTTTCCACAGGGCTCTCCAGGCTGCCACTCCAGTGCTGTACTGGCCGCATCTTGCAGGTGGGAGCTGGCAGGAGCGTGCAGGACGACGTCTCCATCAGCTTCTAAAGTTAAACTCCGCCTTCCCAGCCAGAGATCCTCGTGCGTTGGATGGGAGGGGTGAGGTCTTTTCTCATTGGATGGTGGGCGGAGCTCAGTCCAGAAGACCAAGTCGATGGTCCACACCGACGATCAAGGGAACGGATGAGCTCTCAGCCCTGTCGCTGTCAAACTGAGACTCAGTTTGACAGCGACAGGGCTGAGAGCTCACAATGTTACCTGGCTGCCGTTGTGACAGGGTAAACTAGGTGGCCGCGAGGCACTCGGGAGCGCAAGGCCTAAGGCGACCGGTTAATTTGCCTAATTAAAGAGCCGCCACTGCTGCTTTTAATATACAATGGGATTCAGGGTTTGTGATTTAGCTCATCCATTTATAATCCCAGCACCAGCACTGCATCACCAGAAAAAAATCTGGAGCTGCCCTGCTTTGATACCTAAAATAATAATAATAATGTCAATTACGCTAAATTCACAACTATATGTGTAAACATAATCACACTAATAAATAAAATGAGCTCATCTGTATTAATGTCACTTTCATTCTGCAGTCTGTATTATGTTAGCCATTGTGCTAAGCGAAAGGAAGCTACAGCATGACAATAGTTTTTTGTTTTTTTGTTGTGTATGGGATTAATGAGCTGGATTTATGTGTGTACTAACTCGATGAACACTTGATCTTACAACTTCAGGTTTCAACAGAACAGGATCAATTGTCAGTACAGCATCCTTCTGTTTTACCCTCCTCCAATGTCACCCTCTTATATTACTGATTTTGTGTAATGTGTTTTGTACCACACATATCAGCCTATTGTCAACTACAATAAAAATGTGTAGGCACGCTAGCTGTTCTTTGTTACCTTAGTAACTTCATAATGATAACCTAACACTTTCTATCCTTTTATTTTATTGTCAATGAGATGGGACAATGTGTACTTTATCCTTACATTTTTCAATAAAAAAATGAATGTATTAAAAACATCTGCATATGTTTGTATGGGGTCATTTTCATTCTATGCAGACTTACCTGAAAATACCTGAGCCCACTATCGACCTAGAAAACAAAAGAACACTTTCTCATGGGGGGTTCAAATAAAATGTAACTATTTCATTATCTGACATCATTCAAATATGTAGCAATGCAATGATGATGAGTACAATTACATGCATGTGTTAAAATGTAGGATTCTCTAGATCTTATACACCTTGACTTTAGGGCTTTTCAATTTAAACTCCCTGTTTATAGAAGATGTATAAGTTCTGTATGTGATACTGTATATAAAGCATATACAGTATAAAGGCAAAAACAATTTTTAGTTTTAGTTTTGTATACTGGGGAAGGGTTAGACTCTACTTTAACGTTTCATTCTCATTTGTCCACCCTGGAGCGATCCACCCCTGATCCTGGTGACCACTGTCTCTAAGACAAAAGTGAGGGGAAATATAAAATTGTATAGCTGTGTCCACGGTACAGGGATAAATGTTCAAATGACAACTGTCTAATATAGGAATGCTTCTAATTTTGGGGTGATTTCCCTTCATTTCCTGTTGCATCTCCAGGACATGAAGTAATTGGAAACACAGACATCAAACAAATAACCCAAAAGGGTGTTTTACCTTTCCTCCACTCTATCCAAAACTATAAAAAAAATGCCTTTACATACACTTTAAAATTAAACAAACTCAGGCGTTAAACTTTAATAATGCATTCACGTACATTAACTATTAACATAAACGTAACTTATTTGTGTAATGTGTATCACTCGGTTGCACATCCTCAACCGTCTCTGAATTGGTGCTGACACTGTCCTTCCTTCTGGAGAGTGGCTAATTTTGTTTCCCGTGGTCCCTGTGTATGTTCTAATGTAACCACAGCTGCAAACTTGCTCTCATGACGGACTACAATCTCAAAATACACAGGGACCATGGAGGAGAAAAGTAGCCACCCTCCAGAAGGAAGGACAGTGTCAGCACCCATTTAGAGATGATTTGAGGATCTACATGCTTCACAAACCAACTACAGTTTTGTTAACAGTCAGGGTACTTGAATGCATTTTTAAGATTTGACTCCTGAGTTTAGTGTCACTTTAAGTGTTTCTCTACAACAGCCAAGAGTTGGGATAGCAGAACTACTATATACAAGGTGTCGGGTGAAATTTCATGTGTTACAGAGTAGATTGCACATGCCCCTTTCTGACACATTGAGTGCAGAATGGTTCCCCAAAAATAGAATGCATTTGGTTTAGGCCTCATTCACACACAACGCAAGCAAAATGGTATATTGCGTATATACGCGTCTATGGGCGTCTATACGAGCGTATGTGTGTATATGCGTGCACTTTTTGCATTCCCAGAATGCATCATTCCTAATAGAACTTTTAATGAACTGTACACAACGTAAACACGTGCAAACATGCGTATACGCCTAAAATACTCAGAAATGCGCTGCCCGGACGCATCTCGGTTCCATTCTGTTTTTGCACATATATACGCTACGCAAATAAACGGCTCCATACGCGGCTATGTGTATGGAGCCATTTATTTGCATATGTTGCATTTGGTACAAAACGCACGTACGCGCGTATATGCGCGGCAGTGTGAATGAGGCGTTAAAGGAGAACTATGGGGTTAAGGCTTTTCCCCGTTTCTCCTTAGGGTAACGGGAGGACACAAACTAGCGTCCTCCCGTCACCCTAGGCTCAGTATACCGCGAGCTATAGTTCGCAGTATACTGAGACTTGATGGGTGTGCAGCGCTCGGGGTCACCAATAGGGTGAACTATCAAATACATAATTAAGTGTTAACAAAACAACATGTAATCAAAAAAATTAAATAGGTGTTTGCAATCATTATTAACATACTAAAGTGATAGCCAGTGAAATAATAAATAGATGAATACCAAATTTCACTTTGTGCAAAAATGTATTAAATTAATTATGCCTTATTATAAATTCTTTGTTGTAATCAAACGTGCATCAAATACAAAAATTATCAATAAAAGTGATAAACACTACATCTACATCACCATCTACTCAGTTACACTTACTTTGCTGGGAGTTAAATCATTTATATCATCAAGAAGTGTGGATTTTTTTTCAACAATGCGCAGTGCCACCAAGGAGCGGGATTCCTTCACGCTGACAGACAGGGTGACATTTTCTAATGGTTTAGCGCTATTTTTGCTCCATGACAAAGTCACCTATAAGATAGATAATAAACTGAGAACCTGACACAATAAAACTGTTTTGGAACATGACATTGACATGAATAAAATGTAAACTGTCTTATACATACAAAGCATGGTGTCTTCAGTTATACATTTAATTTACCTGGCTCTTTAGTGCGCCTTTGATCATAAGCGTCTGAGTGGTTTGAAGTATATCACCAAAGCTGCTGTTCACATTGCGCTTATAAACCTCAATCTGAGCAGTGGGAGCCCAAGAATGTTCAGGAGTGAGGCTAAATGTGGTTTTATTCTTGCCTGCAGCCACTACCATTCCTTTTGCAACAACCTTTAAATAAAGAAAATATGCTTTACAACGTGCATAAATGGGTTTGTAAAGGCAGTACCTATGCCTAACCCCAAACCTCCCTCCTCCTCTCTACAGAATGTGTAAGGATTACTTTTATCTTGTTCCTTTAGCAAGAATCACCTTTTTTTCCTACCTGTGAAACTTTGACCAGCCTTATAAAATTCTTAATGGGATGTCAATTCCTACTGATGTAGGCATGCCCCCAGAACTACATCTCCCAGGAGCCCTTCCTCTACACATAGGAGTTCATTTATAAAATGTTCAGTGCCGTTCACACAGCACTAGTGCCCCTAGATGGCTTTGGTGAGTAAAGAAAATCTATACTCTTCAGCGCTATCTAGGAGCACTAGTGTCATGTGAACAGCATCTGCAGGGTGGAACATTTATGAATGAACCCCACAGTGTTTGGGCAGGCTCCTGAGAGTGAAGGATGAAGCATTGTTTTGCTGGCAAAGAAATCAATGTATGCATGTGGAGTGGGACAGAGAGGTTGGAGGGATAGTTCTGTACTCTGGCAGGTAGGAGGAGCAGAGGTATGGTGTTGTCAGCCCAAACAGGAAGTTAGGAGCACACTGGCAGATCAAGCTTTTTTAAAGGAATAAAACATGTGGAAATAAGCATGTACTGCAAAGATGTGCTGAATATGTTTGGTTTTTTTTGCCCAGACATAGTTTAAAACATTTGAAAATAGAACTCCTCCAGTACATTTCTGTACTGTATGATAAAGCCTTAGCCAATTTAGAACAGGTAGAACACCCCCAGGAAGTGACAATAATTCTACTAAGCTATGCTGTTTGATTCAAAGTTATTACTATTTAATTGTGTCGGAACAGGAGATGCTGTCACAACCTGAAAAACATTTACACATCTTATCAACTAAAGTTACTGAAACCAGAAGAAATTGATCAAAATGTTCTAAAATCTTACATACCACATAGTAAATCTCTTGAACTTCTGGATACGTATTAATTTGTAGATGAAAAGGTGTTCCAACCTGTATGATAAAGATATGTTTAAGATATAAGAATAAGATAGAACTAGAACATTTAGCATGTTTTGCGTGTGTGCGTATTTGTGTGTGTGTGTGTGTGTGTGTATTTTTGTGTGTGAGTGAATGTGTGAATCTGCTGGTCCTCACTGTTTTGATCTGTTGGAAAAAACACCCACAAACACATATACACATGTATACATACTGATATGACACACACAGGGGTCTATTCACTAAGCTGCCGAGGGCAGTCGAGTGAATGACCGATCTGAAGTGAAGTGAGCCGAACACTGTTCGGCTATTCACTTCAGGCTGGTATGTCTGATTTCAGCCGTACATCGGCTGAAATCAGCCGTACATCGGCTTGCTTCGCGTGGCTTCGGGTCGGCCGAACATGCTCGGCAGGCTACTCACTGCTGTTCGGGCTATTCTTAAAGATGCTGATCAGCAGTGAGTGAATAGCCGAATGCCACCAAGCGGCATTCGGCTCAGGCTGTCCTGCTCGGTCCCTCAGAGGTACCGAGCAGAACAGAAAAAGAGTGAAAAATGTTAAAAAAGTAAATAGAAAACGATTGTGCGGAGCTAGCAGTGATAGCTAGCTCGGCCCAATAGTTTCCTATTGTCCGGCGGCTCTGCTGCTGTCAAAAAAAAAAGGAAAAAAAAACTCTCCCGGGCTATTTGCAATAGCCTATAGTAAACTAGCATTGTACCCGCCCTCTGCTGATGGACCTGATCGGGAACTGCAGCAGAGGGCGGGTATAATGCTAGTTTACTATTGGCTTTTGCAAATTGAAATAGCCAATAGTAAAGTACCAATGCTTTTCAATGGGAAAAAAAATGTTTCTATTCTGACATCGCTCGTGTCAGAATAAAGAAAGAAAAGACACAGCCCTGTTTCTCTCCTTGGCGGCCGGGAGCAGGAGACTCCCAGGGGCACCAGGGAGAGTTAGCTGTTTGGAGATCCGTGTCCCTGGTTAGCAGGTAACCAGGGACGCTGATCTCTCTACAAGTGGCCGGAGCCAGCCGTAAGATCACTGCTGGCTCCGCCCAGCTATCAGAAGCAGGCTGTTGGCCGGCCAATGGCCGGCCGCTCGGCCAGCTTCGGCTTTCAGCGCGGCTTAGCCGAGCCGATGCATATGCGTTCGGCTCGACTGAGCCGCTCGGCCATGTTCGGGAGCTGTACGGGCTATTGTGAATACAGCACCCCTTCGGTTCTACAGCACCCCTTCGAAGGATCGGCTGAAGTTACGGCCAGATCCTTCGGCAGCTTCGTGAATAGACCCCACAGAAACATTTCATACACATAGCCAAATCACTCACAGAAATCCTGACAATACGCACACACAAACCATCATACAAAATATATTGACATTGCATACAAAGAAACCATTACAAAACATACACTGACATTATAAACACACGCAGACATTAACACTTGTACCGTATATAGTTACATTTTATTTTGATGTATGAAATTTGGCAAGCGGCCTCCATAGGAGAAGAAAATGTGTCCAGTGGCCCCTCAAGTGAATTGCGTTCGAGATCCCTTATGTAGATGCAAAGACTGGAGCTTTTAATAAGACTTCTCCATACACACATGCAAATCTTCACCATTGCAAACATGTGGTTAAGTATGGAAACTTAGTAACTCTATTAACATTGCTATAGATAATTACATTTGTCCACATCTATGTCATTCACATAAACACCACATTAGGCTTTAGCTGGAAAGCCACTGTATATGAAATCTAAATGTTGTGGGTCCCAACCACCAGGTAATGGAAAGTTGATAAATGTCAACTCCAAATTGTCACAAAGAAGCTTTAGAAGGTGTAGAAGTCTCCTATCCAAACCAAGGGCATGAAAACCTCTGGCACCATGTTCCTTGTCAGCAATTGTGCAGATAACAGAGCCTGACTGGCTCTTTGTGCTGACTTTCTCTCTCCCAAAGTCCAATATCAGAAGATATTCGAGTACTTGTACTAGTTATGTTGGAAAATACATTCTGTGCAATCAATATGTAACTGCATGAACTGTAGTCTTTATGTCTGCCTGGAGTTCAGAAATAACTTTTACACCAGTCTGAGTGTGCTTACGTCAGTCAGAAACTAAGCTTATTGCTTTAGTAAATCAATCGATTGAAAAACAATTCTTGAACTGAAGCAGTGAAATTATTTCTGTAATTTTTCTGTAACAAAGAAAAGGAGGTAGATCTTTCTTGTACCTTTAATGATGTTTCTGATATGTTTATCCGGATAAAAGGATCCACTGTTGTCTGTTTTTCAAAGTAGAATAGCTGAAAGGCGGTCTGGTATTCAACCTACATAAGAAAAAATTATTTTAGAGGGATAATTTTAATGGCAACAATCCAAGGAAGGAAGAAAGGAAGGAAGGATTTCTATAGGCAACCCCTTAGTAACTATTTTTATAATTAGTGTTGATATATACACAACCTTCATCCCAGTTACATAAAAAGGAAAATGATTCCATAGCATAGTTCCATACATTTACAGTACATGCATGCACACATTAAAGTAACAAACAAGATACACTAGGAATGTGCAGGTGGATCTTGCACCTTCTCCCCCTTAAGTTTTAAAAGAACAGTCCACCTGAGCTGGTTTAAACAATAGTGCAATCAAATAGGTAAAATCGTTTGCAATCCTTCTAGCCTCTATGGGAAAAATAGTGCTAAAATATGATTGTTTCTGGTAGGCCATTTTATAGATTGCTACTTTAATACAAATAGGGGTCCTATTCAAAACAGAGAGCGAGTCATCCACTCTCAGGCTGAATACTGCAGTGTTTACTACACACTACACTCTGCATTTTACACTTCATTTATAAAATGTAGGCTGTGGTGCCTTATGCATTGTTTCCTGCAAAATGATGCTTGGGTTCTGGTATTTTTTTCTCATTCATGGAAATTAAAGAGCCTTTTTCAAAACTTTTACCCTAGGGTGGCCAGAAGAATACATTTTCGGCCGATATGTTTCGGCGGCCAATATATTGGTGCATCCCTAGTTGCTATGATTGAATGCCTGCACATACAGATGGCATTTAAAGGCATGTGAACACTCCGAATGTGAATGTCTTCTCATAAAAAAAGTTGTGGTTTTCCTACAATACTTAAAGGGTAGCGTTATACTGTACTTCAATTTATGATATAAATAGTGTCTAGCTGATCTTAAATAAAATGTATTGTGATGGTTATATCTGCCCCCCTTGGAGCTCTGTTTCCTACCTGTTGATATACTTTTAAACATTAAAAAACAAGTTGGGTAAGTGATGCAATCATCAACGAAAAAGTTAAAACCATTATATGATTCTTCTGTATGTGCCCTGCAGTAAATCATGGGAAACCATATGCTTTGGCAGAGCAAAACATAACATCCGTTCTAGTTTGGTAAATCCCACTGACTACACTGACAAGAGTAGATATGACAATTCAAACAACTAAAGAGTCAAATGATAGTCCCTTTAATTCTGAGAATTTGTACATTGATATGATGAAGACCCCTCAGTACTCCAACAACTTACATTACAATTTATTTAATAACCTTTTAACCCCTTCATGACTGAGCTTTTTTTCAGTTTCTGTTCGTAAATGACTGACACACTTTTTACACTTGTGCTGTGTGATTCTTCCCCGGCAGTAATATACTTTCTTACTAAATGTACCCACACATATTATATATAGTTTTTTAGAGGACAGATAGGGCTATATAATTATATCAAACATGTGTTCCTAACGCCTCACTTAGTTCAAATAAAATAAAAAAAATGAGTGTAGAGACTGATCCTGACAGCAGGCCTCAAAATTTCCACTCGCCCCCTCGCAATTGGCGAGTGAAAATTGCGGGGGGCGAGTGGCATGTCATCAATGGGGTGCCTCGACGGCGGGATCGCTCGCTTGCTTCTATTTTCTCTTCTCTTTCTCGCCTGCTGCAGCTACAGAGCGGCCAAGGAGGAGAAGAGAGAACAGAAGCGAATGCTTGCTGCGGTGGTAGTGTTCCATCCAGAGCCGGAGCTAGCTCTCTGCGCTCCCTCTCTTTCGTCCCGGCCGCTGCAGCTTCAGCTCCACTCAGAGAGGCGGCTCTGATCACACCCGTTATCGCTCCCTCTTCTCTCCTCC